CCAATAGATCAGCATAGTTGGCATCATTACCCAATGAAAGGCAGGATCCAGACTTTGGGTACAAATGACCAATGGAAATGTAGTGCTTTATGGCTCTTTGTATCATTATAAAATGGTTGTATACTGTATTTTCGGGGTCTTCTCTGCTTTTAAGAGAAGTCCCCAGCTGACCTTTTCTTCGCTGCTATTCAATAACATTGGGCCTTTGGTTCAGCTGGTAGCGTCTGTGCCTGATTCCTTGCCAAAGAATCTTAGGACCCAGGTTTAGCCGGTAACAATTGTTGGTTCCTTCATATCTACCTGGTTTATGTTACAGGCTCTGCAGATGACCGTTCTTTTGTATGCAAGGTGATGTGGATGATTAGTAGTGACATGGTCTTTTCACTGGTGGCATCTCCATCTTGAAAATGCTGTCCCTGAAGAGATTTGCTTGGTGCTTCTATTGAGGTCTTGATTATAATAGGTAAAGACCTTTTTATTTTGCCAGGCTTTTACACTTAAATTGTTTTAGTAGTCTAGTTGTTTTATCTAGAATTGTTCCTTTTATTCTGATATGAGTGTGCTTTAATTTAGATGTTTTATCTTGCATTTCTTACACTGGGAAGTATTTCAATTTAAAACACTGTAAGAAAATCTTGTGGAATCCTGGTGCTCATACTATGGGAGGAAACCCGCACTTGTGTAGCTTCTTTCTAAATGGTGTCTGAACTCATCTAAAATTATCTTAGCTTTACAGTAATGGCAAACCAATCATTTAAAGTGAAACCCTGCTTCTTTTTAGTCAAAATAAGTACCATTGGGTTCAATGGGTTTTTATATAGCAAAATAAGAATATGATTGCTTTCTTAATGGCTAGTCATGGGGAGACTGATTATTAGATTCTGTACATGAATATTATATGAAATAACTATGAATGTTTTGATGCCTCAGAAGCTCTTCGGATGAAACTACAAAAATCAGCTTCAAGCCAAATATCAGATGAATGGTTTTTTCCTGACGCACCTTATTACCTTGAACTTTAGACATAAATGAAGGATCATTACAGAAAAACAGCCATTGAATCACAAGGTTTCCTAGATTCACCTTTCTGTTCCTGCTATTCAGATTGAAGTCCTTCATTGCATCATTACTTCTTCATCTAGAAGATATTTCCCTGCACTTGACAAGTCCCAGCTGGAGCATTTCCTGTTTGCCTCAAGCCTTGCTGGTATTTACTGCATTACACACTGTTATTTAATGCCTTCTTAGCAGGATTGCAGCACTGCTGTTATGATGCCAGCTAAATATGTTGGAGGTGTGTGTTTATTTGTAGTGGCTGCTTACAAAAGGTCATCACCATTATATAGAACAATACATTACAAAAACACACTTAATTGCAACAGGACAAGAACAACAACAACCCATCAGCTGCAATCCACATATTGCTGGGCAAAGTATTGTGTTTCTAATAGGTGGCTGGATAGCTCAGTTAGTTGTGTTTCTGACTGCAGAACCAGAGGTTAGTAGTTTGTTTCTGCACTGTGCATCCCAGGAGAAGAGCCATCCTGCATGGTGTTGGGCAAGTTGCAGTCCTAGAGTGTTCCCAGAAGAAGGAAATTATAAGTGACTTCTGAGTGTTCTTTGTCTGGAACTACATGTTTCCAATAATCTGCAGCAAAGTTGTTGTTTTTTACTGTGGGTTAGCTGCCAACAGGCAGAAACCCACTTGCAAAACATGTCCTATTTTAATGTGATTCCTCACAGTAAAGCACACCACAAGGGGGGGGGTGAGACCCCAGCTAATGACAAAAGAAACCTATTACTGTAATTGTGACCCAAAAAGTGACTTGGTTCTTGCAACTGGATTAGACCTGGGCACAAATGAAGTGGACCATGCAAGACTGTAGTGCAGAAGATACCAAGGCTACAGCAAGAGCCCCAAATTAGACTCGCTTTTGTGTTGCTGGTTCTGTTTGCCAGGTAGCATCAGAGCAGCCTTTCCCCACTGCCACAGCAGCATCAGAAAGAGGAGGAGGACATGATCTATCGGGAGGTGGAGTGGAAGCACCTCTGTTAGAGAGTCATGTCAGGGGGGGAGGGGGAGGGAGGACCAGTATTGTTATGGCATGCACTCTTTCCCTCACCATGTATGCCCGTGCACACGTTCTCCTCCCCTCCCCAGGTCTGGCTTCCTAAACAATTAAACTCTCTAGCAACTGGATAAATAGCTGCTGGGGACTTGTGTAAGCCCTACTGTGGGTTTTTTTTAATGCAGTCTGAGCACAATTTTTGAACTGCAGTAGGTTTCTGTATCATGAGCAGTGTCAGGAATGACTGCAAATTCCACCTGGAGTCCTGAATCTGTAATTTTGGCCTTAATCTAGAAAACTCTTGAAAGGGTCACTGTAGGTCAGAATCAAGTTGATGGTATGTAATTGTTATGATGGCTGGTAGCTGCATCACTGTTACTTGTCGTATTACCCAGAAGCTGCTGACGTAATACTGCCTTACTGCAGCTCTGTGCAAAGTGCAGCTTTCCAAGAGTTTCCGCTCTTAGCATTTTTCACTATTGGCCATGTAGGCTCAGGCTGGTGAGATCCAACCCTCTCTGGAGAGGCCATTCTTTACCCACCACTGGCTGATAAGATAAGGCAGCAACATTGCAAAGAAGCAAGATCCAGCTTGGAACATTAATTTTAAAAAACAGTGAGTTATAGTTATGGTATGGTACCAATGAAAGCTACTCCAGAGCAGCAAGGTACCATTAGTTTTTGACAGGTAGCTATTTCATTTTCTGTTTCCTAAAACTGCTTAAAATAATTACTTCTCAATTTTTTAGAAGAAATCTGAATGTGACCTGTCATTGACTTTTAGTACAAAACGCGCTCACTTCTTGTCTTCTTGATTCTTGTCAACCCACAACAAAGCATAAGACAGCAGCATGAGGCAAAACACAAGGTAGCTTTTAAACCACTTGGTATTCTTCCTGCATATCTTTTAGTGAGGCCACAGCCCTCTAACTACAAAAGTAACTAAAAACTGGCATCATAAAAAGGTGACATGATTTTAAGTTATAATAGTAATGTAATGTAATTACAAGCAACTAGTTATTCTACAGTTTGATAGGTCTTAACTAGGTAGCATTGATGAAACCATCAGAGCTGTGACTTCAGCATTTTCTCCTTTTCAAAATCCAGAATTGATAGTTGGACATTTTAGAAAGCATTGGAGCTACAGCTACTGGGCCTGTACCAGCTGCCATGGGTTTCACACCCAGACATGAGTCACCCCAGATGGATATTCTAGGGGTCACTTTATGGTGCACCAGTGACTTCCAAGAATCTATTAAAATTTTCCCACAACATACCAGAATGATGCTGCCTTAAAGGCATTCTGGGAGATTTCCATGGCAGCTGTAATTTGCTTAATGGTTATCCAGCATCCCTTGCGAGCCAACTGTACCAAGTCCAACTTATCAGCTCACATCTATAGAAAACACCCCAGAAGGGGGCATTTTCTTTCTTTCCTGATTCATATCAGAATGTTGCACAATTTAAAACTATGGACATATATGAAATATAGGTAAAATTGAAAACAACTTAAAATGTTAAGATAATTAAACTATTTTTGACCAGAAGCAGGCTACTTCAATAGTGTTATCTTGGCCATTTGCTAGATCTTCTTTTGTACGTGTGATGGGGCATAGATTGCATGCATTTAAGTGTTGCAGTGGATCTTCTTTTGTACATGTGATGGGGCATAGATTGCATGCATTGAAGTGTTGCAGTGATTGAATTTATCTACAGTCACAGAAAAATTGGCCTGTATCCAAGTATCTCAATTTTACTTGATTACTCTTTGATCTTCCTACTTCACTTTGAAGTCATTAAGTGACTTCCAGATAGTCCAGCTAGAGTTTTGTCCAATATGAAAATGTTGGTTGATCATTTGTCTAAATGTTAAAAACTTCCAGGACGCTAACTGGTGGGAGATGGTTTTTTTGATTTCTCCAGTGAGATGCTTTAATATAATTTGTTCAAATACTTTCTGTAAGTGGCATAGTAGGGAGATTGGCCTGTAGCTTTTGGGGTCTGATGGTTCTTTGCTTGATTTCACTATACTGATTACTTTCATATTCTGCCGTATTTGTGGAATTTGCTTGCTCAACCAACAGTTATTAATGAGTTGGAAGAATGATTCCCTTCTGTTTTACCCAAAACATTTAATTTGCTTTATTTAGATATTATCAAATCCCACTGTTTTGCCATCCCCACATCTTCTTATGGCTTCCTCTAGTTTTGCCAGTATGAAGGGCGCTTTGCTAAGGCCTGCCCTTTAAACTTCTTGTAGTCTTGCACAATTAATTCCTCTGTGTCAGTGTAGAAGTTTAATACTGCAGTTCCTTGAGAAGGAGATTGCTGCAACAGTTTCAAAGCTGGATGAGCAAGCTACTACTTATATGGTTCAACACCTGACTCAATGTTGAATTCTTGCACTTTGTAATTGTTTTATTATATAAACTCATCTGGATTCTCTTCCTTATTGGATATGCTTAGGATGTTCCTTGGGAACTAGGTTATCTGACACCACTGCAAGAAGAAAGGGACACCAGGAACACACACAAACACACACAAAGAAGAAAGGGACACCAGGAACACACACACACACATTGCCAGGATAAAATTTATTTGTGTAAAATTAGCAGCATCAAACTGAGTGACAGTTACACCTGTCACTGTCCATCTGTGCATCTTGGGGAAAGTGGGCGGGCTTTTGTACACCATACTTGTAAGAGAGTTTCATTTAGTAGCAACCAAGTAGATATTTTGGGCTTTTGGTATCAGAAATACGTAGTTCATAAAACGGTTTGTAACTGATTGGGGGAGGGGAGTTTACAAAAGAGGGGTAACTTTCTTTTTTTGCAGAAGGTCAAGCCATTAATAATTAACGCTATCAGTACATTCACTAGCCTACGAAGTCTCAGTGTTGGATGGGGGGATTTTCCTTGTTTGTTTTATTCACACAGTTTGTACTAGCATTCTGGACAAGACCAGACCTATAGAAAGCCACTGTGCAGTTCAGTTTTTTTGTTCCTTAACACTTCATATGAAGGTGAACCAGAAGGCAAGACAGAGTTGAATTAGCACTCCAAGGAAGCAGTGTTAGCCTAGTGTTTTCATCCTTGCCCCCCGGGTCTAACATGTCTAGGAAAAGTAGTGCCACTCAGGCAGGTGAGTAAAGGGCCACCGGACACAAAGAATTTAGCATAATCTGGTGAAGAGGTTCTGGATGGAAGCCTTCATTTGAATAGTGAAGTGATATCAGAACTTGAATCCTGGGATAATATTTGCTATATTATTGGCACAGCACCTTCACATTCAACAGCACGGCTTTGAAAGATCCTTTTAAATATAAGAGGCTGTGTAGCTCATTAGAAAATGGGGAGAGCTTGTTATGGGTGCCTTTACCAAAAAGGAATATTGTTAAATTGTGGGGGTGGGGGTTTGCATTTGTCGCTGCTTTTTTGTTTGCATGCTTGTTCCTTTATTTAAAATACTGTACATCTAAAACAGTGAGAAAACGGCATAGAATATGGGGGGCTCGGGGTGCAGATCTACAAAATGACCTAAAAAAAAATACAGGAAATGTAATAAGTACACATTACTTGCTACATTGAGTAAGGGTGAAGAGGGGAATAATGCCACTAACAGTCATAATCTTTTGCAAAAGGGGTGTTGGTATTCCTGTCATTAACCACCAAAGTAACATGTTACATGTAACAACATCACTACTTGTAGTGTGTAGTTTTCAAGTTCTAGCTAGTGGGAACTCCTTTTCTCTGTGGTGTTTAAAGTCTTATTACTTTAGCAACATCACTGTATGTAAAGCACACAAATACATTCAGACAGTCTGAAAGCAGATTAACAAGAAGGGAAGAGATGAGGAGAGAAGATTTAAGGGACTGAAAACCAAGTCCTGTGAGGAAAGACTGAAAGAACTGGGTGTGTTTAGCCTTGAGAAAAGAAGACTGAGGGGTGATATGATAGCACTTTTCAGGTATTTGAAAGGTAGTCATTAGAGATGGGATATTCATATTTGTCTCCTGGGGAGACAAATTCGAATATTTGTGTCCCGGGGAGACAAATTCGAATATTTGTGTCCCGGGGAGACAAATTCAAATATTGCCACCACAGCTGGCCAAGGCCTTTGGACCCTCCTCCCAGAACCAGCCAGGTTTACTTTGCTTCTCCATCTCCTTGTGGAGCTGACCACTCAGCAGCTGAGCAAGGAAACTCATCATCCTTGCCAGAGTGGTCAGCAGCACATTAAGGTGGGGAAGCTCTGGCAGGGCTACTTCCATGATTGGTACAATGTAATTTATAATGGATACGTGCACCACACAAAGCCCAGTGAGTGGACCTCTGGTGCCATGTTTTGTATTCATATCCCATGTCTAGTAATCATACAGAGGAGGGTCAGGAGCTGTTCTCAATCGTCCCAGTGTGCAGGACACACAATAATGGGCTCAAGTTATAGGAAGCCAGATTTTGGTTGAATGTCAGGAACAACCTCCTAACTCTTAGAGCAGAACAGCAGTGGAACCAATTACCTCGATAGGTGGTGAGTGTCCAACAGTGGAGGCATTCGAGAGGAATTTAGACAACCACCTGGCAGATATCCTTTGATTTGTATTCCTGCACTGAGCAGGGAGTTGGACTTGATGGCCTTATAGGCTCCTTCTTTCATTATGATTCTATGGGGTTTGGTTCATCAGAGGTAATTAGACATGTGCCCTGTTTTGCATCAAGACAAAACAGCTTTGATTAACAGATACACACAAGGAGCAACTAGAGAAGACTGTCTTAATGCCAGACTCCTGAACATGCAGAAGCACCTGATTGGCTTCAGTTGGAAACAGAACGCTATTTAAGTGGACTTTCTATCATCCTCTGAAGGAATTCTTACATTATTATATAGTAATACAGAAGAGGGGCAGGAACTCTTCTTGATCATCCCAGAGTGCAGGAGGCACAACAATGAGCTCAAGTTACAGAAAGCCAGATTTAGGCTGAATATCAGGAAAAGTGTTTAGGCTGAATATCAGAAAAACTTTTCCCACTATTTTACTGCCACATTACTGGGTATACTTTCTTGCAATAGTAGCAGTTTTAATTTATTCCTCTGTATATTTCTGGTTTATTTTGATGTATCTTCCCATTTTGGTTCGTTATTTGCTGCATCCTTTCTGGTTACATCTCAGCCTTGTAATAGGCTCAGTTGCAATTAATATCTCAGTCTTTGGCCATATTCAGCTTTCTTGTATATCACACTTAAATGATTTTGGTTCTATTGTACAGAATCCTTGGGTTTATAATTTAGAGAGGTGCTTAGAATTCTTTATTAGAGAAGCCTACAGCTGATAATTCCAAGTACCTCACCAAACTGTGTGTTCCTAGGATACTATATGATGGATCCATGAAAGTGGTATCAAACTGATATAACTATATTTTACATATATTAACAACTACATGTAGTCAAGTAAATTCCAGCCTACATTGGCCCTTTCCAGGATTTAATGAGTATAGAATACTCAAAAGTAGTTTATCATTTCTTCTTCTAGGTATACTCTGGAACTCTGGAACTGGGCCAAGCGTACACAGATTGGCTCTTTTCCTGGAAAGCACAGAGGGAATCAAACTCTTGAGTCCTGCCAGGTGCTCCAACACACTGAGCTATCCAGCCAGCTATGTTCTATAGCTACAGCCCTAAATTCTAAAACTTGTATTCTGTTGCACATTTAGCTATTAGTTGTCTGTAAGCGCTGCAATCCAGCCATGGAGAATGGGGAAGAGACGTGGTGGCGCTGTGGGTTAAACCGCAGAAGCCTCTGTGCTGCAAGGTCAGAAGACCTGCAGTCATAACATCGAATCCACACGACGGAGTGAGCCCCCATCGTTGTCCCAGCTCCTGTCAACCTAATGGTTCAAAAGCATGCAAAATGCGAGTAGATAAATAAGTACCACCACGGTGGGAAGGTAACGGTGTTTTGTGTCTAGTCGCACTGCCCACGTGACCGCGGAGGATTGTCTTCGGACAAATGCTAGCTCAATGGGTTGGAAACGGAGGTTAGCACCGCCCCCTGGAGTCGGACATGACTGGACAAATTGTCAAGGGGAACCTTTACCTTTACCTAAGGGCTTCAATTTAGTCATGGAGAATGGGGAAGAGGGTTATATTAAGTCTGATTAGTGATTAGCAAGCACTGTAAAGTTTTTGTTTGGTATATCATCAAAGCACAATATGGAGAAACTGCAAATACAACTTTGGATGCAAGGGCCCAGTCATGAGAAGAGCACCTGGCAGGGTTCTCTTTCTTTTTGAGAAGAGACTCCATATCTGGTTGTCTGTGTGCATGCATTCATTGCCTTTACTAGATCAAGGCAAGGAACTATTCTTATGTAAAGTGTGTTGTAATATTTCTTCAGTCATTCAGTATTTTTATTCTGTTACCTCAGTAAAATATTTTGAAACTCTACGTTATAGTGCAATAACTCCTTGTGCTTAAAGAGAAGAATGATAACTAAGTTGAAGTTGTTCCATAAGCATTGGAAGATTATGTCCTTCTCTTTGTTTGCAATTTTTTTGGCATACGAATGTAATAGTAATTCGCTCAGAGCCCAGAACATTATTTTTAAAAGGAACTTTTGGTGTTACTTCTTATTATTAACATTTCTTGCTACCCCAAATGTAACTAATTAGAGCTTATTGTGTTACTTTTAGCTAGTTATTTCCAAGCTCTGAATTCACCTCAAGTTATGAGAAGGAAAGCCCTTTGAAGAATTAGTTGAAGCTGATTCTAGATTAAAATTATCACTCTGATGAAATATATATATATATAATGGCAGAATGCACCCTTACTTTGTTGGCTCCCTGTTTGCAAAATGCCCTTTGTATAGAGCTTGCCTGATGCTTACCCATGTGTTTTCAGCAATGGGTAAATAACTTTTTATTTTCTAGGGCATTCAAGAACTTTTTTATTGCTTTAATATATCTTAGCACTCTTCTCTTTTGCTGGTGGCTTTACAAGTATTATTTCAATTTTTTAATCATTCTTGGTATTGTTACCTTGGTTTCAATATACTCTGTGTCTCTGGGTTTTTTTTAGTTATTTGCGTTTTGTATTTCTGGAAGTATGGTACCTTCACAAATAATTCTGGTTATTAGCCTAACAAATTTTGGCATAATATTAAGACAACTCTTACAAAGAAAGAAGACAAAGCTATCTGTTTCTTTGGTTGCTATGTGTATAGATCAACCCACTGTTTTCTTTAGAGGGAGAGAGAAAAGAGAGTATAATATTTTTAAATGAAAAATAACAGAAAATATGATAAATCTTTGAGAATTATATAAGGAGCCAAATAAATCATTCAAATTAAATTAATTAAAAACTGATTATATAACATTATAAGACAGGTATGACATACATTCATATTTTGTTAAATATATGTTTGTTGAATATAATAACTACCTTTGGAACCTTTCTTGTTTTTCACTTTGATTAGAATTGAATGTTTAGGTATTTTCCTTCCTCTCTGTAAGTTCCTTTAACCATATTTTAGCTGAACTAATCCACACATAGCAATGAATTCCAAACAAGTTCAGCTGAAAAACTATATGATGGTGGGAAACTTCAGTAATACTGAACAAACAAACAAAAACAGATGACAGACCTATATACTATATCATTGCATGTGAACTAATCCAACATTAGAATCTTTGAAATCTTACAACATTTCCAACATTTTATATCTTTACCTTTTCAGTCACATTTAATGATTCTTGGGAATCCAACACCATTTTACTATTTTAATCTTTCTCAGACAGATATCTCATTTCATTTTCTCAGTCTTTTTTAACACTGGTGGTTGCTAATCACTTTGGCAGTCATAGTTACATTTCTTTTAATTCCTGACAAACAGAGACCTAAGTAATCCCAAATCTTTTGATCAAGAGAAACAGTCAATACATTAGCCTTCCCCATAAACAATTTAAGACCAAGGGGAGAGGCCTCCACTCCAAATTTTGGAGTGAGCCTGCTGTCTAGTTCATGAGCTGTCCATAGTCTTCCAAGATTCTGTTTTATTTTAGGAACTGAAGGAACAATAAACATATATTTAAAACTTCTTTCATGTGCCTCATTGATGCTTCAGTCTCAGAGCAAATAAATAAAGTGTGTTGCATAGACGTTGTGCTCCAGGCATGTAATAGTGAAATCAGAAGTCATGCAGAGATTTTTAACTGAATTCTCCCTCTCTACTAATTTTAATTAAGAGCCAAGCAAGTTGGAAGTGGGTTCAGAGGTTATGTATCTAAGAAGCAACAGGGTGGTACTGGATCATACTGTGGGCCCAGCAGAGATTGTCATCTCCGGTGGCAAGATAGTTGATGTTCTTCCGAAGAAAAAGAGGGACAGACTGAGTGGAGAGAAGGTATGAACTAATATTGTTTTTTGTTTGATAATTTAAAAAGAGGTTTTGTATTGTTCAATGGATTACTTTCCAGGATGATTTACAAATAAAATAGCATACCAGTCTAAAACCCAAAACAACTGTCAGAATCCTAGTGGGTTTTTAACAGGGCTATGACACAATTGACATAAATCTCAACATCAAATTGCTACAAATTAAGAAGTCAGCATAAACATTTGCTCTTGTGCACCAAGTCTCATGACTTGCCCTTCAAAAACAAATGCTTATGCAAAACTGATTCATGGACTAAGAATTAAAACATTACAACAAAGGTTCTTACAATTTTATTGTAAAATTTTAAACTTGTACAATTGTAAATTGTACCATTTTATTGTAAAATTGTTTACTGTTTATTGTCATACAGTACACAATATGTTGACCACTGGATGTGGAAATAATAAGGTGAAACTATTATTTATTTGTTTATTAATTTGATTTATATCCTCTCTTTCTCCAAGAAGGTGGGATGCAAGGATGTTAACAATAAAATGATGTTTAAATGTACTAGGTAACTTGTTAAAGAATATCAATTGTAGTAAGATTGATAGAAATTTTAAACAATCTTTCTTAAGCTTTAAAAAAAGAAGCAGTATCGGCCTAGATTAAAAGGCCCTTTACACCAAAGTAGTTTAACTCCCAAATGCTTTCTTACGTGTTTGTTTGTTTGTTTGTTTGTTTGTTTGTTTGTTTGTTTGTTTGTTTGTTTGCCAGGGCAAATAAGTCTCCAGAAAGCACTAAAATGGTTTCAAACTTGGCATTAAGCAAGTCCATTTTGGGTGAGGGCATTTTAACGCGTGTTTCCACTGTCATCACGCACCAGAGTTTATGATGACAAATTAACAATCTGTGATGTGGTATAGTGCATTCCTTTACATAGTTAAATCCAATGCGTCTCGTGAAAAAGCAGAAGAAAAAGATCTACTGGAGCGCTGTATAGCATATACAAGGCAGCTTGTGGAAGGGAGCTCTCCCAGTTCCAAACATTACATTCCTGGGGGCTAATTCTCTACATGATTGCACAGGTTTTCTGCTGCTGTGATTCTATTGACTTCATTGTAACTGAGTGGAGAATAAGACCCTATGGCCATCATGTGAGTGAGGAACAGTGAATCAAACTCGTAGCTAGTGTCTTGGAGACTACCTTTCGGCAGCCGTTGCTGTGGTTGCAGCAAGGCAGCCTCTTTTTAAAACCCCTTTCTCTCTCCAGGTTGAACTTTTAGTTGTGTGACCACTGAACTGCTGCAAGAAATGTCTCAACCCCATTTCTTGGCTAATAATTGACACACTTTTTTTCTGTTTGCACAATGCTCATGTGAAAGGCACAAGTTTCCCTGTGTACTAACCAGTTCCAAAGACAGATTTTGGTAGAACAGCTACCTGCAATTCTGTGCATTTGCTGATATTAAACATGAGAATACAGCTGTGAAGTGTCACTGTGTATCTATCTGACGGCTTGTATAAATGAGGCAAAAGATCCAACCCCTCCTTTTCCTCTTTGGCTCCTGATGATTTTTTTAAAAAAGGAGCATAGGGTTTACTGGGATCCACATTCAAACTATAAAAAGTCACTTCTCTGAAAACCAGGTCTACCCTAAGAAAATCAAAAATCTTTTAAATATCTTTTGAAAAATAGTTCATTTTAAAATCCCTATTGAGGCTTCTCTTCTTGAGCTTAAAACAAATTAATTGAAGACCTCTGATCATAATTTCTACCCAGTTCTCTGAAAATTTCTTCTACCTCTGTTTTCATCTGTTAGGCCACAAAAATCTTGAAAAGGTGACTGGAGCCAATATTGAGAAGAATGAGGGCAAGCAGGCTGAAACATGGTTCAGATAAGGCAGAGATGCTGTGGGTTAGGAAACCTGAATATCTGCACGGAGGTTGGCAGCTGGTTCTGGCACCTGAGAGACATATTTCACAGCTTGGGGAATAGTTATTCTGAACTCAGTACAATCTGAGCTGTTCTCACTTAATCTTACTCTTATTAGCTTTAAATACTGTATTTTAATGATGTAAATCACTGGTTTTCAGCTTTAAAATGTTTTCTTTCAAGAATGTAAGCCACCTTGGGTCCTTTTTAAGGACAAAGACAGGGTAAAAATGTAATAAATCAACCAACCAATCAATCAATCCATCAATCAATCCATCAATCAATCTGTGGAGGCACAGGAGGGACTAGGAGTATCTTTTACCAGCTGCAAAACTTTCTACAACAAGCAAGCTTTATCTTGGGCACACAAGGTATGGCTATGTCCAGACCAGATGTCTGTAACGGAGCTGACTTTAAAGCTGCCCAAATAAACTGGTGCTGATTTTAGCATTCTAATTGCTTTCTAATTGAATTAGGGCATCATATATATTATTCCAGTCATCTGTGTAAAGTGCTTTGGAAAGGCTTTACACCGAAAGGCAGTCTAGAAATACAAAATAAGCAAACAAATAAATAATGTAGCAGTCATTCCCTCAAAATTTTTACAGTTCTCAGAGCAAAATGGGATAGGGAATCTCATAGGTTCTCACCCAATTCCAATTCCAAAGATTCTTTGAGATAATCCACAACAGTTAACACAGTAAACGTAACATAAATTTGTACTGTTAATACAGTACAATACTGTAGCATTTCACTTTCCTCCCTTTTGTTTAAGATGTATACACATGAAATTGCCTGTGAGGTCTGTAGTGCACATCAATAAAATGTAGACAATGAGAAAGTCCCAAGGGAAGGCATGGTGACTGGCAATTAAAGGAGAGATGCATGAATTAATCAGGAATGACATAAGATGCAGCTGAGCTTCTGAAACTCAATCATTTCCAAGAAGTACAAAGAATACAGTTGCCATGTTTGAATTCATCCACTCATACAAAAGACTAATTCATTGTAAACATTAGGAATCTGTTATTCCCCATCTTTTGATATTCCCAGTTTGCAACAGCAAGTTGGAAAAATGAAAGAATTTTTTTTATCATTTTAAAACAGTTTCATTCAATGTGAGCTTTCATGAATCAAAATCACCTCCTCAGATGCAAAGACCAAGTCTGAGGAACTGAATTTTGATCCATAAATGTTCACACTGAACTAAAACTGTTAGTTTTTAAAGTGCTGCAATATTTTGTTCCCTCACCTTCTGCTGACATACTGAGACAAACTAATGCAGCTAATATTTGGAATTTGCAGCAGCAAGCTGCACACCGGAAGCTGAATGTTTGTAAAAATATTGCATATGTAAAACTGACATACATCGATACATGGTTTCTCGTTGAAAAGTCAAGCCTGGGAGCCAGGCTGGTGGCTGAGGAATAATGTAGCATTATACTCTGCAATGAGGGGAAATTCAGTAAGGTAAAGGAAAAGGTTCCCCTTGACAAATTTTTGTCCAGTCGTGTTCGACTCTAGGGGGTGGTGCTCATCCCCGTTTCCAAGCCATAGAGCCAGCGTTTTTGTCCGAAGACAATCTTCCGTGGTCACGTGGCCAGTGCGACTTAGACACGGAACGCTGTTACCTTCCCACCGAGGTGGTCCCTATTTATCTACTTGCATTTGCATGCTTTCGAACCACTAGGTTGGCAGGAGCTGGGACAAGCAACGGGAGCTCACTCCGTCACGTGGATTCGATCTTATGACTGCTTGGTCTTCTGACCCTGCAGCACAGGCTTCTGTGGTTTAGCCCGCAGTGCCACCACGTTCCCCAGTGAGGAGTTTTTAAAGTGCTGCAATATTTTGTTCCCTTTGCTGACATACCGAGACAAACTAATGCAGCTAATACAGTATTTGGAATTTGCAGCAGCAAGCTGCACACCGGAAGCTGACTGTAAAAATATTGCATATGTAAAACTGACATACATCAATACAGTCAAGCCTGGGAGCCAGGCTGGTGGCTGAGGAATAATGTAGCATTATACTCTACAATGAGGGGAAATTCAGTAGAATAGGGTAAAGGTTGCATTGTTAATTTGCATGTTATTATTCTATGTGCTCTTGGAGTAACTGTGATTGCAGCAGCAAGCTGCACACCGGAAGCTGAATGTTTGTAAAAATATTGCATATGTAAAACTGACATACATCGATACATGGTTTCTCGTTGAAAAGTCAAGCCTGGGAGCCAGGCTGGTGGCTGAGGAATAATGTAGCATTATACTCTACAATGAGGGGAAATTCAGTAGAATAGGGTAAAGGTTGCATTGTTAATTTGCATGTTATTATTCTATGCGCTCTTGGAGTAACTGTGATGGCTGCCATATAGTAAAATAAAAAGCAAAATGCAAAGTGTGCTGCTCATATACCACTCCATAGCACTTAAAGCACTGTCTGGGTGGTTTACAATTTAATTATGCAGGCTACACATTGCCCACTCTGTCAGCCACGTGGGTGTTCAGTTTACTGAGTTTGGAAGGGTGGAAGGCTGAGTGAACTTTGAGCTGGCTACCTGAAATTAAACCTGAGTCGTAAACAGAGTTTTGTCTGCAGAACTGCAGTTTAACCTCTGTGCCATAAGACTCCTCCTATCTAACATTGCTAGATATATCACATCATTATAGTGATGTCATTTTTTGTAGAAGCAAAAACCTGTTAAGATGTCTAGTAGAACTTTCCTATCATACGCAGGCTGATTACCGGCAGAAAAATTTTATTCTGCTTCAGAATGGTAAATTTTGGAAAAGAAATCCTGGCAATTAGAAGTACCGTAAATCTCTTGCTTATGTTAGCTGAATGGGGCCAGAAGTCTGACAGAACTAACTCCAAATTATAGTGCTAATGGGTAATTTCAGACTGTAGAATTAATGGTCTTATGCAATGAGGTAGAGCTCTTTAGAAGGTAATATTACTGCATTTATTTCAAATAACCTTATAAGTTCACAAGAATGATTTTACATATTTTGGTTGTACAATATTCACATTTTTTCAACATGACTTCATTTAGCCCTAATTCTACACCAGTCTCAATTTAAAAAACAACACTAAATTAAGATTTGTATCAATTTTTATACCAGTTTCCCTTAAAATCCCATTTTTGCACACACCTTTGCCTAAGAGATGCCTTTATATGCTGTTTTGTCTAATGTATACATTTTTGTTTGCTGTTTTGATTGATCTTGAAATTTGGAGATACATGGGAACAGACAGATAATTCCATTGACATTAATGCATTAGTTTGGGAAATAGGAATTGGGTTAGTTTATATTACTGTGCAAATACAATTCATTTTTCCCATCCCTACTTTATGTGGAAGGCCTCCTTATATGGCCATGTACTGTATATTATGTTAATTATTTCCATTTCAAATGTGGAGAAAGGATTTCCTCCTTTAAGAAAATGTTCTGGGCATTTTCATGAATAGGTTCCTGGACTTTGATCCAAAGTTTTTGCCTCTGCTCTCCTCTTGTTAAATGATTAAATAGAATTTGAAATATTCTTAGAAATCCAAACCATTGTGGGCCACAATCCAACCCAGAATTAATTAGTTTAAGAGTGCTTTTATTTTTGACACATTTTGGCTTCAAGGATTTGAAGCAGACTTTGGCAACTGCCACTCCTGACATTCCTAACCAGCATGAGAAATGGTTAGGGATTATGGGAGTTGTAGTCCAAAAACATTTGGAAGGCTATCATTGTTCAACCCTGTTTTGAAGTAGGCTGCTAGTTCTGGAATCCTTTGGTGGCATAATTCTTCCATTATTGGATTCTATTTTTATTATTTATTTATTTAAAATATTTTTATCCCACTTTTCTCCTATAAAGGATACAAGGTGGCTTACATAATTAAAATCTAAAAGCAGTACATTATTCAAATATTTTAAAATTATTAATAACATTATATTTAAAATGTTAGACAAAAGCATTACTAAAAACAGATCTAGAAGCAACAAAATATAAGCCATCCCGTTTATGGCCTCCTATACAGTCAGTCACTAAGAAAAACCTGCCCAAAGAGAAAGGTCTTGCTTGTGGAAAGACAGGAAAGATGGGGCCAGCCTTACCTCCTGTCAAGGGATTTCCAGAGTCTGGAAGAAATAATGAGAAGGCCCTCTCCCATGTCCCCATCAAAACATCCCTGTGGGATCAAAAGAAAGGTTTCCCTTGATGATCTTAACACATGGGCAGGTTCATGAAGGGAGTTAGGGCTTTTAGCACTCAAAAATTTTAATTAATTAAAATTAAACTGTGTTTTTAATTACAAAACAAAATTTTGAACAAGAACCTGCTTAAGACACAAAGTTAACCATGTACAGTAGCCAACTTTCTGCAATGACTTATAAACTCATTACCTCTTCTGTCTACAGATGCTTGATGTGGGAGATCTTGTAGTTATGCCTGGGATAATAGACCCTCATGTGCATATCTGTGAGCCTGGACATCCGTCATGTGAGGGATTTACAGATGTGACTAAGGCTGCTGCTGCTGGAGGCGTCACCACTGTTGTTGACATGCCACTGTATGGTACCAGAGGATTGGGAGGGAGGCAAAACAGATTTTCTTGCTTTGATTCCAGATGCACAAGGAGATTCCCAAGATCAGTTTACTTACATTGGTTGTGGGGTGGGGGGGAGGAGGAACTAAGTGTAACCAAGTATATACAGCTATGCTAACTGTGCCTCTGCCTGCTTTCTGTCAAGCCCCCTGCCCTGCTGCAGCACTCTGCCCACACCCCAAGTTTTTCCTGAGGATTCTCAGATCTACAGGATAAGGCTTCCAAGGAAGAGTTTAGGAGGGGGAAAAGGAGAGCGAATTCCCCTCGATGAACATCCTTGTCATTGTGCTGGATTATTTATTAATTCAATAATTATTGTACTAGATAAAAACTACTGTTGCTTTCTTTATTGCACCCTGCTGTTACATTTTTCTGGCATCTGTAGCTTGTGAACACTCTTGGCAGAAGGCCTTCTCTTCTGGCAGTATAAACAGTTTTGTTGTGCAAAATTCTTAAATATGAGACACGTTCCTGCAGTGCCAGCTACTGGTCACATTCAAGTGGTGTAGAACAAGCGACTACTAGCAACCAAAGGCATGTTTGCAGAAAGACTTGAATTTAGACTATTTCTATCACTATGGCTAAACCATATGGTTGCTGGAGTCACTGAGTAGGTAGTTAAGACCACACTTTGACAAGCCTTTTATTGCAAAACAGATGAGAAAATCTTGTTATAAAGTCCTTCAAAACAGAACAGGAACAGCACTTTGAATTTTGCCCTAGTAGTAGGGAGGAAAGGCCATGCAGAGTTCAGCTGGTTCTTGTGGAAACTGGGAAGATTTGCCTTTTATTATACTTCATAATTTGTCCAAGATAAACTACATAATCTACAGTTTGCATAGTTTCTACGCTTCTCCTCAACAATGGCTCAGCATTGAATTCCACTGAGATTCCTGAGAATTCCTGAGAAAATCATGACAGTTTATTTACCTGTTTTTGTTGTGTTTTTCTCCCGTCAGATTTTTCCTTTTGACATATCTTTATAGTCACACTGGGTTTCCTCTCTAAGCTTTCTGAAACCCTCTGCACCTGTATGGATAGTGCCATTTTGATTGCAAATGGATACTCATTCAGAATGAATTTGCTGTTCCTTTTAACAATTGAGTCTTTTTGAAACGTGGTCTATAATGTACATTAACACATTGTGACATGTTAATGTACATTATAGACTCTGCTTTAAAAAGACTGGCAGCCAGAATAAACAGGAAGGGAGCCTCATTTGCCTTCTAAGTAACATCATCCTCATCTGCATTCTCATCATTCAGGGATTGTTGTCCTCCAACCACAAGTTTGTCTGCTCTTCACTCCAAACTTCAGTCTGCCAAGGGACAGTGTCATATTGATGTTGCCTTTTGGGGTGGCATAGCTCCTGGAAATCAGGTTTGTATCCAGTAGTGCCCAGGAGCACTACTGGGTTATGTCTGTGTTTCTTTCCGTTTTCAGGCCAGTCCCTGCTTGTTGTTCCAAAGGTGCTGTTTGGTGGGCTTAAAAGATATTTGCCATTAATATGTACAAAATAAGAAGTGGCTCTTAACTCCTTAAACATTCCTGTTAAAATGGAAGCTGACATTCTGCCTTCTGAAATAACCTTCACCTCCTTTCAATTCCTGAGATGGGTACTAAATGCTTTGTAGAGTGTGGCTGTCAGATCAATGAAGTCTTCTTAATCCATTTGCAATTAAAACTTCTGTTGTTAAAAGGTTGCTTTGGGAGGCCACGATGGTGAGACCTTTGCATTCAGAAAGGAGATAAGGACTACAGCCAAGCAAGCTACTGATCTGTGGGTGTGCTCATGGCCACCGCGCATGTTCAAAACCACAATTTTGAAACGTTGGATTTTGCCCCACTACACTGGGGTGGTTCCAGTTCATTCTGACAAAATATTGGATTTATGTTACCCAAGGGGCCCCTTTCATTCCAACATAGCTTAGAGTGGATTGGTATTTAGGAATATCAGGTAGCCATATTTCCGAACCCACACTTGGTTTTCTTCTTCATGTAGCTGGATAAAGGTCAGAAACTGGAAGGAAACAGGAAGTAGCATATATACCTTGGCCATTCTTCTTCTTCCCCCATCTCTTCAGTATGCTTTCTGTTTTGCTATCCACACTTCATAGTTCCGGTATTCTACAAGTGTGTCCTTGTGCTGCCCATTAGGCTGAGCTGCTGCCGATGCTGAAGGCTGGTGTTCCCGGATTTCAGTGCTTCCTGATGGCTACTGGAGTTGATGGTTTTCCCCATGTAGGCCTGCATGATTTACATATGGCAATGAATGAACTACAGGACACAAATTGTGTGCTTCTGGTAAGGAGCTAGGCAGTGACTCAAAGAAGAGTTTAGCTTTAGTATCTGCATTTGCTGTCCCTTCTGAAATTCTTCATTCTAGTATATTACTAACATGCTCATACAGAAGGTTTTTATTGTGGAATGGCCCTTCCTCATTTATGGAATTTTGTGAGGGCAGGCCAGATATTGTCTTCTTCCATTTGCTGGTGCTGCCTTTCTTTACCACTGAAATTTCATTGTGGGAGGGGAGCAGAATAACAAGGCCTAGAAGTAATTCACCTGAACAATTCACTAACCTGGATAGCAACATGATAATACAGATAGCAGATCTTTAGGACTAGACATCTTTTAAGTTCTGAAAGATACTTATCCACACGAGCTTTTCTCACCTCTTGTACTTTTCAGATTAATTTGCTTTTTTGTGACTGATCGTTTTAGATGAAACATGAGTTTCATCTACAAGTCAGGCATGAAACCCCAGAAATTGTATCTTTGGAGTGCTAACATGTTTTGTCTTGTAATAACATGCTGCTTCAATCATCTAGTTGCCACTTACCCTTGGCGTTACAGTTCGCACTAAATGCTAGAGAGAAAAGATGAAAGACTAACATTTAACTAAGTCTTACAAAGTTACTGTAGACACTATTATTCTGGAGTACCTGGATGCAAAGGCAATAGGCCATTTTTAGTCACACTGGAGCAAATGCTTTTGCAAATTCTAGCGTGCTGCCAAACGGATGACTCTCAGTGCTACCTAGTGTCAGTCAAAGACACTGCGCAGCTACTCAATCTTTCCTTGGATTTTTATGAAAAGGAAAAACTTGGAATAAGCCACAGGAGGGTTACCAAACAACAGATAGATGACTTATAAAGAAATGTGAATAAAGCAGAGGAATTGCTTCATCAAGAGCAACATTGTGCCCCAAAACAGAGATGTTATGGTTAATATCTCACAATCACAAGACTATTTTGATCTTTTTTTCTTTTAGTATAAGAAAATACTTGCCTTCTTGAAATTAAACACATGAAGTGACAGTTTGAGCCTTGTTTCAAATTAACCATTATATTTTAAAAGAGGGAATGGAAAAACAACACAAAAGAAAAAGTGTTATGTTTTTATCTTCATGAAGCAGCTTTTTAAAAAATGTGTTGTTAAACATGCTTTTTATTTGGGATTTTCCATTCAGTTCCATGCAGAACAGGAGCCAAGTCAGTCAATGCATATCCCAAAAGGTACGTAATGTCTGTTGCGAACTCTCTTCCCTTTAATCTTTTGAGATGTGTCAACTGGGAGACAGGGGTGCATTCCCCTTCTTTCATCACATGTTCTTGGGCATTCCATTGTCATCCAGTGTTCTTCCAAACTGAATTGTTTGCTCAGCTTAAAGCATATTTTGCAGAGACAAAGAAATGGATAATGGAGGAGACACCACAGAGAGACAGCAAGGAGTAGATGACAAGGAGGCAGCCATCCTAGATAAGGAAAGAAAAGAGTGGATATTGTTAGCTGCCTTCCCCCATGGTCTTCTAGTTTGCTGACTGAGTTTTTTGGGGGTGGGTGGGCTTTGTATTATCATTTGCTTAAAGGGAAGACCAGTGTCAGACTCAATGAGTCTTGCAGGATGTGTGTGTCTTGACACTTGCCCAGGCATGCTGGATGTTTTTACCAGGCCCAGGAAACCCACTGGTCCTACAGCAATGATTTGTGTCAGAAAATGACAGAACTCTCCCTGTGACAGAAGCAAGGAATCTTTCTAAAGGGGGGACTGTTTCTCACATGGCTAACCTTCTAGGGGTTGCATGGGAATGGTCAATGGTACCAAAGCCAAATATGACAGAAGCAAGGAATCTTTCTAAAGGGGGTTGCATGGCAATGGTCAATGGAGGGGACAAAGTATATATAGGTATGCCTTAGATATTTGCATTGAGAAGAACCATACGCATTTGCACGTGCAAGTACCTTACACACGCAGATCTATCTAAACATGCACGCTTGAGCCAAACATTTCAATCCTCTTTTCCAAGCTTGCTGCAGCCCACGTCCCCTCTACAAAACAGTCCCATTCCCCAGTTTCAACTTCCCTGACCTCCCACTGAGACTTGCTCAATCTAGCATTGTCACTAAGCCCTCAGATAGCTTCTGATTTTTCAACACTGGTTTCATTTTTGAGTAAAAGAAGGACTGAAGTAGGCTAGTATTTTCCCTCCTGCCCTGCTTGATCTTTTCTGCTCCCCTGCCCTTAGCATGTGGCATTGGGGAAGAGGAGGCCTTTTTCATTGGTGAGACACAAAAAAATAATGCTTAAGCCAGCTGTAGCTGCCAAGGAAAGTCAAGGCAGCTGAAAACAGGAGTGTAGGTCAAGCAGATTTGGATGATGCCCACACAGAAAGCAGGCTGGGGAAGCAGAGACTGAATATGCTGTTTCTCCAGCCTATACTAAGCATTCTCCTCCTTTGCCAGCACAATTAGCTTCTGGAAGCAGCTTCTGTTCTTTCACATCCAACAGGAAGGCAGGTTGGATTGGTAACACAGACCTCCCCGAGCCTTGTGGCTGATCCACAATACAGTGGTGCCTTGCTAGACAGTTACTCCGCATGACAGTTTTTTCACTAGACATTCTTTTTCTTCCTTGTTTGAGTCTTGCCATCTTGGAAATGTATTGTTTAAAAATTTAAAAATTAATTGTTTTTATATATGTTATCTTGTTGTGTTTTAACCTATGTAAGCCGCCCTGAGTAGACGTTGTTTAGATAGATAGATAGATAGATAGATAGATAGATAGATAGATAGATAGATAGATAGATAGATAGATAGATAGATAGATAGACAGATAGATAGATAGACAGACAGACAGACAGACAGACAGACAGACAGACTTTTTGCGATCGCTATAGCGATTCACAAAACAGTGATTCCTATGGGGGAATTTCGCTGGGCAGTGTTTGGTCCCTGCTTCGCAAACCAATTTTTGCTAGACAACGATTTTGACAGCTCCCTCCGCACTCGCAAAACGGGTGTTTTCGGGATCTAAGCTTCACAAGACAGCTATTTAAACAACTGATCTGCGGTTCGCAAAGCGGCTTTCCTATGGCTGATCTTCACTAGACAACGGCAATTCTTCCCCATTGGAACGCATTAAACAGGTTTCAGTGCATTCCAATGGGGAAATGCTTTTCGCTAGACAATGATTTCGATAAACAGCGATTTCAGTGGAATTGATTACCATCGTCTAGCGAGGCACCACTGTACTCTGCATCACTTACATGACTGCAGGACACTCATGGAAAGGCTGGAGAAGGGCAGTGTGGAATGTAGCCAGAGGAAAGGGTGACAGGGCTGGGGTGAGTCTAGCAGACCAGACTATATTGGATGAAAATGTGTTCTTTTTCTTCTCTGCTCACCATAGACACCACAGAATATAGCACTTTCTTGAACTCTCGCCCTGATACCATGGAAGTGGAGGCCATCCTCACCATTGCTGAGCTTTGCCTACAGTACATGTGAGATAATTAACTTATTATCAGGTTTCAATTTTAATTTTTGTTTGAGCAGCATTTAGGCTGGGACTGGGGATGAACTAGATAAAGCTTTTACAGTTGCTTTTGAAAAGTAAGCTGCAGATGTGGGAGAGCCAGATTGTATTGGGATGTGCATGCGAAGGCTGAGATTAAATTTTCAAACACTTTCTTCCCCCGCTTTGTTTCAGGTCTAGCTCATTGTCTGTGCATGGGTAAGGCAAATTGGCAGGAAAATGTCCAGCCGGAGTGATGGGGAGGTGTTCTTCAATGCAAATTGCAGGATGGCCAAGTTTAAAGGGTAGTTCCCCAAGCCTAATGGGTTAGAGCCACCATGCTAGATTGAAGAGTATGGGAGCTGTAGTCTAAAATATGTAACTTTCCAGGCTATACTTTGAAACGCTGGTGATAGAAACCCAAGCAGATGTATGGATGAGGTCACTAGGCCTGCCTTTTTTCAAGTTGAAGAAGGGTAAAAGAAAGCACATGGTCATTTTTGGGATTGATAGTTTCATTCAAAAAGCAATGCTTGCATCATGATGAATCTAGAAGCTCTTGACCACACAATCAGGGTTTCGGCAGTAGGCAGAATAAAATAAGGACTACACCCCAGTCTGCTATTGAAGTGTGTCTAAATGTCTACAGGAAGGACTCCTGATTGTGCCTCTTAGATTAGATGGACTTAGAGTCTTGAAAATACTGCCAAGTATTAGAAGATATAAAATTAACACATTTGTGGGGATAATTCTTGCAAGAAATTAAAGAACAGCTGTTTCATATGTAGAATATCCGGTTTGGATATATGGCCTGTGATAATTTGTGCTTCTGCTTCCTGAGCATTCTTGGCCAGATCCAGTTACTCCTAAACCACATTCATCATACAACGACTTTCCTTCCACCTCTGAAAACATGGAGTGAAGCAGTCAGCTGATCTGAGAGTAAAAGTGATGCACAGTTAATCATCTCATGATTTGAATCTTACAGGGTACCATGCCACATCATGAATCTCTCTTCTGCTGAAGCCCTGCCCATCATCAAGGATGCTCATCAGAAAGGAGCACCCATCACTGTAGAAACTACCCATCACTACCTCAGTTTGACAGCTGAATGCATTCCCCCAGGAGGCACATACTACAAGTGTTGCCCTCCAATCAGGGAGAAAAGGAACCAGGTAACTGAGCATGGTATACAGGTATATGGGGAATATATGAAATGCAAATATATGAAAAAAAGAGATGGCACATGTAGACACAAACAGGTGGCCAAAAAACCAAACTAAAAACCAACACACAAAACCCTTCACGAGTCCATGTGCTAAAACATACAACTGATGAACTGAGAGAGGACACATGCAGTTTATAACATCTGCAAAAATGTAAAAAGAACAGTGAAAATAGAAGTAAAAAAGAAGGGGTGAGGAAAGAACTGGGGACATAATTACCAGACTTTGATCACATACTGCAGTTATAGGTTCTTCTGGGTGCATTTGGCCAGACAACTTATGTGTTCAAGACTGGATATCTAGATAGAATTGTCTCAACAAACAAACAAACAAAACAGAGAAACCTTTTTAATAGGAATTGTCACAGCCTTTGACTATTTTAATGCATTACACCAGATCATCTCTTTCACTTCAATTTCTCATGTTTGAACATGGTCAAAATATGAACCAACCCTTTCTAAGGAGACAATGGCACACACATCTCTACAACCTATAACACAAGTAGATCTGTTCTTTGTGCGATCCCTGGGCAGGCCAAGTAGCAGAAGGCAGGCCTGTCTTCATGTTCTATCCCCCTTATACCTTTCTCCCAGAGCTGCAAATAGCTATATTTATACTTCTTTCTTTGGGATTTTATGTTTGTTTGTTTTTTGTTTCACCTTTCAGATGTACCTCATTTGGTATTTTCAAAGCTTGATCAAATTTATTACAGTGGTGCCTTGCAAGACGATTTTAATTCATTCCGCAAAAATCATCGTCTTGTGAAAAAATAGTCTTGTGAGGTTCCCTATGCATCGGTCTCAAAAAAAAAAGTCTTGTGAAGCACGGTCATAGAAAAAAAATCTTGCGAGGCACCATAGTGATCGCAAAAAACAATCGTCTTGCGGGTTTTTTGTCCCACGAGGCAATCATCTAGCGAGGCACCACTGTATTTTGAACCATAGCCCTGAATACCCTGTGGCCATACTAGATGGGAGATTTTGGGAGCTGTACTCACTCCTCTCTAAACAAAGCAAAAAAACAAAACAAAACACCTAAGCTTACACATAGCTCTAGGCTTCCGTAAACCTTGCTCCAAATAATTCTCTTTTCTCCTTTCTATTTTGATCTATCTGCTAAGTGCTTCTCAAACAAATGTGGGTGAATGTTTAATTCCTTGTTCTTTCCTTCTTTTCTATACTGACATATAGTGGCTGAAATCCTGCATAATAGTTCACACCTACTGAATCAGTGAAGATATGGAGAGTCAGCTCCTCTGGAAGTTCAATTGATTCAAGTAGGATTACTCTAGTTGTGACTTACTTTAGCATAGTAAGTCACTACTAGTGTAGCCCCTTTTGAATCAATGGAATTTACAAAGAAGTTGACTCACCAAATCCCCATGAATTCAGTGGGCCTACTCCAGTGTGAATTACTGTCCTAAGCAACAAGATTTCAACCATTAATAGAAGCTTTCTCAGAATGGGCAACATACTTCTCCACTGTTCTATCAAAGCTACAAAACTTTTTGAGCTGGTTTATGGTTTGCCTTTTTTGTTTGTTTGTTTCTTTAAAAATATAAACTACTCTTAGAACAACAGGCTTGTAATTTCAAGAGCCTACATGGTTTATTCCTATCCTACCATTAATATGACATAAAATTCATGAAGTAGCATATAAATATGTTTTCACAGCAAATTTCCTTTCCAAAACATACTATCAATTACAGAATTTGGACCACAGCTCTCAGAATGTTTAGCCAGAGCGGCCACTGCCTGTGTTGGTTAGGAAATTCAGAGAACTGTTGCCCAATAAAGTACATTTCCCATGTTCTGACCCATATCTAGCTGAGTTATTAGTTATTGTCAGGTGATAGGTTTGCTACTATTGTTTGAGGATTTATCTTGGAGTTAGAGATTTAGGCTGGAATTTTTGTATCCTAGAGGTAAACCTAACAAATTACTTCTGCTTGCAGGAATATAAGTGGCTTAGATACCCATGGGTTTTCTGACACTTTGGTAGTTTAATTATTTCATCTTACTCAAGGACTCCTTGACATGATCTCTTCCTCTTTTCTTCTCATGTCTCCAGGAAATGCTGTGGGCAGCCTTGCGTGAAACAGAGATAGACATGGTAGTCTCAGCCCATACACCTTGTCCCCGAGACTTAAGAGATTTGACCAGTGAAGATTTCCTCAAGGCTAAGGCAGGAATTGCCTCACTACAATTTGGTAAAAAATTATAATGTATTAATTCTTAGCCAATATGTGTTATTTCTTATTTTCCTCCCATGAGCAAACCTTGTTCAAAGGAGAAACAATTATTTTTATAATCCAAGAATACTCGATACTGTTCTAGAATAGATCAAACTGTTCATCTCCATGCCCAGGTTTTTAGAATGAGTATATCTGTAAATATCTATATCCATAAACACCCAACCTTTGTCATCTCCATGCATTGTTCCATTTTTTTCTCTAAGGGACAGCATTTTTTTAAAAAAATACTTTTTCAAATTTGACAGGTTAGTGCACATTTTAAATTGTGCATACTGCTTTAATTCATCTGACTAAATCAGGTTTAAATAGTTTTTTGTGCATAACTGAAATATGTATAATTTTATACAAATTTTTTAGCTGTGCTCATATTGTTCAAATGTAGCACTGGAGTTGGTGGAAATTGCTGCGCCACTCACGTTATCCAGAGAAGCTTTACAGGGTTAGCATTCTAATCACCAAGAGGAGAATCAATGTTGGATCCAACCCACTGTTATTTGAACTCATTGTATTTGAGTGCTCAGCAAAGCCAAGGTTGGAGTACTTAGCACAATTATTGTATAAGTTCCACTGAATGCTTTAAGATTATGTATTAGTAAATCATGATCTTCAACCAATTAAAAGAAATTTTAATTAAATAATCATAACAGTTTTCATTAAATGACTGATTAAATCTAAAGCACTTGCACTGAATGAGTAATTGTTGTGGAGAAAATTTGCTTTCTTTATAGCTGATTCATGCAATACGTGTAGTATCAGAAGATGGATTCCCTCCTGCATAAGGGAATATGGAGAATGCTCCTAAGATGGTACCTGCTACTACAGTTTTATGAATTCCTTGCTTAAAAACAATATTTTCTTAGAGCAAAGCACATCTCTGTGGTTCTTAAGGAGCTTTCTTGAAAATAGGGTAATAGTGCTCTGCAAAGTATGAAAAATGGAGGAAGAGCTTTTTCATTGCCACCACATGCAACATATAGGCTCTCTTTTAGACATTTACTAAATCTCTGAGACCTAGGTATTTTGCAGCATCAAATGATTTTCTGTTAAAATGTACCAGGCAAGAACAGGCTTCTTAACAATATCTTCATCTTCTGATTGTGACTGGAAACCACACAGGTCTTCCTCTCTTCTGGACTTATGCAAAATCCAGGGGCTTCTCTTTCCATGACCTGGTGCAACTGATGTGCAAAAATCCTGCCATTCTGAGCAGACTGGAAGACCGTAAAGGGTCACTTAGTCCAGGGATGGATGCAGACTTGGTGGTCTGGAATCCAGAAGCAGAGTTTCAGGTAATGATGAAACCAAACATTTCTACATTTTATGTATGCTTTTTAGCAAGTGTGTAGCCCTGACAAATGTAATTTTCAGCCTGTGCAATCCACTGTCAGACATGTAATAGTCTAGGCATTATATATTTTTGAGTTTTTCCCATCTGTGGGAGCATATACGGCAACCTACTATAAGAGATCAATAAAAACACTACTTTATAAATTCTTGTTCTCTTTGATACAGGGCTAGAACAAGAATATCAGGTTGGGAAGTATACTCCTAGGACAGCAGCATTCACAAAACTAGTCTATGTACTTATTTATTTATTTTTTTATTTTATATCCCGCCTATCTGGTTGGATCAGGACCACTCTAGGTGGCTATGTAACAGTTCTTCTCTCTCTCTCTCTCTCTCTCTCCCAGGTGAATGGAGATGTAATTCTTCATAAGAATAAGGTATGAAGGTGGTTTGTAATTACTATATTATCCCTATGTTATTAGTGCCCCACCATCCCATCTCCAGGCTGTTGCTGACGTTTACTGTACATTTCACTAAATTCTTTGGCCTCTGCCTAAGACCTGTTTAACACAAATGAGACATCCCAGGCAACAGTTATTCTAGTGATACATAGCATTGTGAATTGGCTGTTTACTCTTCTCATCTCCACCTGTTACTCTGCTTAGCAATCAAAACTGAACAAACAAAAAACTGAAGGTGATGTTGTTGGATGGACTTGGAACTTGGTTATTCCCCTTTCAGTGCAGAGAAAAACATGGAGAGCTCTGCCAGTCTTAACCCTTCCATTGGAAAAGATCATTAATCTTGATGATTCAGAGCCAGTACATGGTTTTGTTATACAGTATATGTAATATGTATATAATGTGGAGCTACATCTCCTCATGTCTATTTTCAGACAGCAGAACACGGAGGAGAGAGGAAAGGCAGCTAACAAAGGAAACATCAGGAAGGAAGTGTCAGTTTCAAAGGCTCTGAGGTGTGTGTGGAAAACACTATAAGTTTAGTGGAGAGAATGCAGGATGGTATCTTTCCAGCATATGCAACCACTACAGCCTGCTTTCAACCTTCCTTCCCTGCTGCAATCTCTGGCCTGGCTTCCTCTCTTGAAAGCTTCTTGTTGTGGATGAATCACAACAATCTCATGTGTGGCACAAGACTCTGGATTTTGCATTCTTGTTATTTATTTTTACACTCTATCACTCACTCTGTTATTTATTTATTTCTCTCCCCTCCCCCCCCCCGGCCTCTCTATCCCACCTCAGCTCACTCCATACTTGGGCTTTCAGCTTTGTGGCACAGTCTTTGCCACTCTTGTACGTGGCAGGCTTGTTTACCTGAATGGAAAAATTGCACCTAAGGCACAAGGAGACCTGCTTATAACTGAGAGAAAGATGTCAACAAAAGTCTCCACACCATACTATTAGTGGGAGGAACTTACTGGTGAAATCAAAGGTCCATGGAAGATCTAGATGGAAGATTATACATTTCTAGAAAGTGGCTGGGGAGAAAAAGAAGAATGAGTAACATAAAGAAACAGCAACTGCCACGATGCAATGAAACCAATCATGGCTTCTTCGACTCGTCCCTTAAGTGACACGCAATTACTGAATGAATGAAATTGAGACAGCAATTCTAGTTGATTTGTCAAGAATATGACAACGAAACAGGAAAAAATAAACCCTAGGATTGTTGGATCAGTACCTGGTCATTTTGAATGAAGAACGTAATAAAGATTCGGGGGGGGGGATTGATTATTATTGTCGTTTACCTTCACTATTTAACCTGTTACTGATCTTGTTTAAAAATAACTTTATTTTGGCAAACTGAGATTGAATTAATTAATGATATACAAGGTAATAATATACCATCAGATCCTAAAATAATTTTGTTAGTTTATATAAAATTATGTGTTCATGAATTAAATATTAGACTAGGATGAAGTTTACTTATTGCTGCCAAACTAGCTATAGTGATGGTTTAGAAACAGAGTTTCTTCCAAATACCCACTTGCTTAACTGTATCTGGGGCATTTCCCTGTTAATGAAATTGACATATTATCAAAGGATACAAAGAATTTCTTTGCAAGATGCAGATAAATTTTATGAGTGATGGGCAATATTTATTATGTGTTAACATGAGAAAGTGAGAAATTGAATAAATTGTTTTGATTTTTATGACTTGTCAAAGAAATTTACATTGTTGAAAAAATCTAGGGATAATTATTTAAAAGTATTTAGAACAAATGGGAGGAACAGCGTATTTTGTTCCCTTTTCCTGGTTTGTAGGAAAGTCCTTATTTTTCTGAATTATCTGTGTAATTATTACATCTAATACAATATAGTACTCACAGCTGAGACCAAGATACAATGTGCTGTCAATAAGGATTATTTCATGATGATTATGATCTTTAGAAATTAACAAACATATAGATACTTCCAGTTAAACTTTCTTTGCTACATTCCTAATTAGGATGTTACCAGATTCTGTTCATATTTGTCTGGTTTGAACTGTGTGTATCTTCAGGACGTTTGCATTTTTGATTTATTGCACAGTTCCAAATTCTACGTATTTTCTCAGATAATGTATACTGCATTGCAGGCAAAATGAAATAAAGGCTTCATTTTACTGCAGTGCGGATTACATTATCTAAAATTTTACAGCGGTAACATGTCATATATTAGTAGCAGGACTAACATATCAGATGTTAACCCTGCTGCTAGCAGACAAGAAAACCTGAATCAGTTACTGTAATGTAGCAGGCCACTCAGATGTCACTGCCTACTCAGGCCTCTCAGAATGCCCACCACACCACTAAACACTCTTGCTGCCACCAACCTTTCCTTTAAATAAAAAGGACAAGGGTTTCTTTCAAAAATAAAAAATAAAACTTGGTTTATTGATTACAAAATAAAATATGTCAATCACAAGTAGCTAATCACGATGCCAATCACTGTATCTTATTTAATCAAACACAGACTTTCCCTCACTGACTACTCAGGCACACTGGCCTCTAAACAAGCTCTTTCTCTCTCACTCTCCAGATCTGATCTCTTCACACACTCTTCACACCCCTTTTTATTCCAGCTCCTCCCCCTTCAGTTCCACCCTCCGTCACCCCATTGGTTGATGATTCACTGCCCAGCCGTGACGGACAGGTGAGGTCAGGGCTGCCTGTTACAGTTACTCTCTTATTTTATTTGTTTGTTTGTTTGTTTTATTTAAAATATTTATATGCCACTTTCTCCTAAAGGATCCAAGGTGGCTTACAGTATTAAAATAAACAAAGATAAGCTAAATAATAAATTATTACAATATTTAAAATCATTAAACATATTTTAAGAATCCATAAATTACAGCAATACTGTATTAAAAGTTCAAGTAAAACAACAGAATAAAACAATGCCCCTTTCAAAAATCCCCTTAGTCAAATAGTTGTGTAAAGCAGAGGTCATCAGTCTTTTCCTCCCGTGGACCAGCGGAGCCTCTGAGGGAGGTAGGGCGCCCCCTTGCGCTGGGGCTCTTGGACGCATGTGCGAAGTGTTGGGGGAATGCACGCACCTCTGGTGTGTGCGCACTCCTCCACCGCTTCACACATGCACAGTAGCACGGGCTGGCAGTGGCGGTGGAAGACTGAGAGTCTGAGCACGGCCGGGGTGCTCCCTCTGGCCACTCGCCTCCTGATGGGCTCCAACGAGGCCGGGGTCGGGGCTCCTTGCTGCCCTTCTATGCAGGGAAATTCCTGTGTAAGCAGCCACTGGTGCCGGTTCCAGAGCTGGAGGTACCAATGGTGGCATCGGCCTGCTGAGGGCGGCGAGGAGCACCGACCCCGACCTCATTGGAGCCCACCAGCAGGTCAGGAGCCAGAGCACCCAGCCATGCTCAGCCTCCCGGCTCTTGGCCACCCCTGCCGCAGCTGGGCCACAAAGGCAGACCTCCCTCCCCATGCACTCCCCTCCCCACAGCTGATTTGCATGCACAGGTGCATCCCTGAAGGGGTGAGGGAGTGCTCATGCCAGTGCTAGCACACGCCCGGGTGTACAAAGCAGCTGTGGGGAGGGGAGTGCATGCAGGGGGGGAGGTCTGTCTTCATGGCCCGGTCAGGGTCAAGCCACGGACTGGGAACGGGCCGCGGTCCAGGGGTTGACGACCTCTGATGTAAAGGAAAGTCTACCTAAAGAGAAAAGTTTTTGTGTGCAGAAAGACGGCAAGTATGGGCCAACCTATTTTCTCATGGGAGGGAGTTTCAGCGTCTGGGACAGCAACAAAGAAGCTCCTCTCCTGTGTCCCCACCAAACATGCCTGTGAGGCTCATAAAGGGAGATATGGTATTTTAGATAGCTTGGACCCAAGCCATTTAGGGCTTTGTAAATTAAAATCAAAACTTTGAATTGTGCCCAGAAACGGATCCACACCAATGGAGCTTCTGTCACAGAGGAGTTGTATGTTCCCAGACCGAATCCCTATTCCTTGATCTACCTTTCAGCTGATCAGGAACACCTCTCTCTTGTCTGAATTAAGTTTCTGTTTATTCACCCTCACTGAGTCCATTATTGGTACCAGACACTGAACTAGACAGCCTTTCCCAGTGGTTGCATGTAGATATTAAATAGCAGAAGGGATAAAACAGAACTCTGAGGGTAGCCAATAACCAGGGTGTCAAACAGGAACCTCCCCAGAACCATCTTCTGAGTTTTCCTCTCTAGGAAGGACAGGAGCCACTGTAAAAGAGTGCCTGTTCTGTGAGCATCCATGGAAACAGACTTAGTACTGTGTAAAAACTAAAAGGAAGTATTTTTCTTTTAGCAGTGTAGTGCGATAGCACACAGCATTTGGATGTCAGTGTGCTGGCAAGGCTTCACAGTGTCAAAAAACACTAAGGAACAAAAGAGGGGTTGATTAATATTAGAAGTAGTGCCATTAAAAGGATGGATGTGTGAATTCCTGAAGTAACACATGCTTTTTAAGTGTGATGAGTCTGGAACTTCAGAAATGCAAATGTAATGATATCTCTACACTGACCAATTATAAAACTAAACTAAACTTATTTGTCAACTACTTATTAAGGCAAAATCTTGATAGAATAAACAGGCAGTTCCCTCCTCCCCTTAAGGCTACTTTGCTTCTGCGTATAGAATCAACTCTTCAACTAATGAGGCCCTTAGTCCAATTCCAATAGCAGTAAAAATACAATAAATTAAAAAATTAAAAAAGGAATGAAGCACTAACTGCAACAACAGATTAACGGAAGAAATGTATTCTCAGAAACGTCAGAAAGCACTGAAACCTATCAGAGTTCAGGAAATATGATTTTGTTGCTTCAGGGGAAATCTGCATTCTGTTCAGAAATGCTCTAGAACCAAAAGGCTTCCTTTTAGGGCTTTTCAAACATCAGTTTCACTCAGTTCAGATCAGGACCAAAGAAAAGGACAAAAGATTAAAGCCAGGATCAGGATGAGGCCAAACATTTAAAGTCAGGATCTAGATCAGAGTCTATACATTAGCAAATTGTGGGAGAGATAACTGCATCCAAAAATAGACTTATGCAATTAAGGTTAAAAGCAGTTGGGCCCTAAAATTCCACAGTTGGGGGGAAAAAGCCAGTAGTACTGAACAAACTCATTGTTGGGCCTAAAGAACAGAGATATGAATGGGGGATCAGAGAGCCACAGACAATGGTGAGGAATGTTGGCCCTTGCTTGTCCAGCAAGTTTCAGAGAACTGCATTTTGCCCACTCCACTGTAGAGTGAGGTGGCTAACTTAGGTGGTTGCCTAAGGCAACTGACTTGGAATATTTTGAAAGAGAAATATTTTTCCACAAGTTGGTTTATTGTTCTACTTTTACTGCCATGGAGAATCACCTGTCTGATTTTCTGCCACGAGTGTTAAAATAAACTAGCCTTGTGTACTACACAATTTGAGTTGCAGGGGGGAAAGTGCCACTTGCTTCACTGCTTCGGACAGCTAAACGTCTTGCTCTTGCCCTGCAGAGGCAGGAAAAACAAACAAGCATAGTTATTTGTTAACCCTTTTATTAATGCAGGTTGCATCTTCTCACAAACGATTAACAGAAGATTGCTTCATAGTTGCTCCTGGACAGCTATTATTTTAAAAATTAAACATATATTTTATATGATTTTGTTTTATATACCGAATTTTGTTTTGTTTTGTATTTTGGATTTTGAATCATGTAGGCAAATTCCAAACAGGACAAAAAAAATAAGTTGTTTTCTTTTATTTTCATTGTGAAATTTATTTTGGATTAATTGATTTAAGACCTAACCAGACTTGAGCAGAAGAGTCCAACAGTTTGGCTCCTCTCTGAAGCAACCTCTGGATTACAATTGCTCAAATTAGAGAAACCTGTGGTCCTGCCTAGTCATCTAAAGAACAAGAAGGGAAATGCTGACATGACATTTAATTTTTAAGCTCTTCCAAGGCAAAGAAGGCTGAAGACTCGTGAAAGCAGACTTGTTTGGAAAAAAACAGAGGGATAAGTAATTTAGAAGTCACGGTTTCAAAGTTGAACTCCTCTTACCAGGAGCCTGAAAGCCTGTGGTAGGACAAAGCATCTGTACAGCTTTTGGGTATCTGGAAGATTTTTTTCACAACAGCAGGTAACCAAGGGAAGTGCTGCAACGTTTATCATATCTAAGATCTGTTTGTTTTTCTTGACCCAGCAATCCCTCTACAGTATTTAAGGTCAGGGATGAGCACTTTGTTACTAGCGTTGCAGGCAGCAGGCTGGAGTCGTGTTCTGCTGCGTTCAGTTTCAACTCAGTGTTACCGCACCATGTCTTCTCAAAAATTATTGGTGTCACCTCCTCCACCTTTGCTACAGCCCCTGTCTGTGCCAGACAGGCTACTGCTGGGCCCTGGGCCCTCCAACCCCCCTCCTCGGATCCTGTCTGCAGGTGGACGACAGCTCATAGGACATATGCATAAAGAAATGATTCAGGTAAGGGCTACAGTTCCAACTTCTCCTGAGATTCATAATTCAGGATTTCTACGTCATTTTCCATTTACTGCTTTCCCACCATGGAGGCATCACTCCAAGAGACTTTCACTGTTCTTTAATGTACTGATTTGCTTGATTTCTTATTTTGAAAGTCATTTTAATTAAGCCTGTTGACTGAGGAATATAGCAAAATTCTGTAACCACGCTTCATTATTCACAGTACATATTAGTTAACATGGCTGTCTTCTTTTTGAAACAGGAACATACTTGAGATGACCTCAGTAATTGCAACCACACAAGCTTCAGCTTTTCCTGCAGTTTTGATCCACAAAGAAAAAATTTTAAATCAATAAACAGATTCTTCAAGATGGAGAAATAATAAAGGGTAAATGAAGAGGAGAAAATTAAGTATTAACAGGAGGGAAGGCCTGCTTAAACATCCAGGTTTTTAATTGGTTCTTAAAAATACCCAGCGACGGGGCCGCACGAATCTCTGGAGGGAGGTTGTTCCAGAGGCAAGGAGCCACCGCCGAGAAGGCCCGGTTTCCAATAAACAGATTCTTCAAGATGGAGAAATAATAAAGGGTAAATGAAGAGGAGAAAATTAAGTATTAACAGGAGGGAAGGCCTGCTTAAACATCCAGGTTTTTAATTGGTTCTTAAAAATACCCAGCGACGGGGCCGCACGAATCTCTGGAGGGAGGTTGTTCCAGAGGCAAGGAGCCACCGCCGAGAAGGCCCGGTTTCTTGTTTTTTCCTTCCAGGCCTCCCTCGGCGTCAGGGTCCTCAGCCTCACCTCCTGACTCGATCGAGTGATATGGGTAGATCTTGGTGGGAGTAGGCGTTCCATCAAATATCGAGGCCCTAAACCATTTGTACGTAAGCATCAATACTTTGAAGTCGATACAGAACTGAATGGGCAGCCAAGGCAGTGCAGCCAGAATAGGAGAAATATGATGGTATTTTCTCACTGGCCGCCACATTCTGCACCACTTGGAGTTTCCGCATCAACCTCAAATCTTTTTTTAAACTCTTTTAAAAATAGGGGCAGGGAAAACCTATTCTTAAACGTATATAACCCACTACTGCTAAGGTGTTAGTATCTAATTAACATCTAATGATAGGGGACTTACAAATTAAGAATGACATCTGGGTCTTCAGCAAAACTCTGTGAATGCAGCAGGGTAATTGCACAATAAATACTTCATGTGGAAATATACTGAGACTTTCAGAGTGAAACTCTGCTCCATACATATGTCATCTGAACTTTGTTGTATTAGAAAACCTAGTTATTTTGCTCTTCATCTTGGACAGCTCTTTGTATTTAAAATTTATCATATAAGAAAAATGGTCACTGCTCTATTGAATATAGTGAGTGTGACCAACCTATAATGTAAGGAAATGCAGCATCAAATGCAAGATCTCAAACCAAGCAGGATTGGTACGGCTGTCTGGTATAATTACAGAACCATATTTTTAATCCTGAATCTGTCTTTTCGAACGACTTCTATTAAAAAAAAGATCTTTTGAGGGCTTTTGTTTGTTTAGAAAAATGTATATGCAATTTTTTGTGGTACTACACAGTTAATGTTTCCCCTTGTTCATGAGGGATCAGAAGATGCTGAAGTAAATGCCCTTATACTGGCAGCTTTGGGGAAAACTGTTTTAACTCTGGATATCCTCTTTGTTACTATCAGATCATGGATGAAATCAAACTGGGAATCCAGTATGCTTTCCAGACAAAGAACCCCCTCACACTGGCTGTCAGTGGCACAGGCCACTGTGCCATGGAAGCGGCTGTCCTAAATATGGTGGAGCAAGGTGACAAAGTGTTGGTTGCTGTGAATGGCTTCTGGGGCGAACGAGTGACTGATATCGCCAAGAGGCTTGGTATGGGCTTTATATCTTGCTCTGTATTAAATTTTAGTCAGCTTTGAGACTATTCCTGTTAGAAGCTAAGGAATTCCCCCACTTTTTAAAGAAAATGTGCTCTCAGAATGCAGTAGTTCAGCAGCTTAGGGCCAAGACAGGTACAGTTGAATGGATAAAAGTCTGCTTCACTCTGCATGTTGCAAATTAGCTTACTTTTGTTTTATGATTGCTCAGTAAGAAGAAAATGTGGGCTTCATTTGCAAGTCTGACTACTCAGGCACAGAACTTTGAAAGATTCGGATGTCCAGAGGAACTATACATTCCAGTAGTTTGCACATCTGGGCTCTGCAGACTCTGAGTTAACTAAACACGCTGCCATTCTCATGTCACTCTACCATTTTTGAATATTGACTGATGAGAGATGGAGTCCAACAACATTTGGAAGGCAGTCTCACAGGAGAAATCAAGAGAGCCACAGGTTCCCTACGTTAGCTTTTTAACATTGTCTCTTGTGATGGTCCCATGAGAAGCCCATGCCTATTTGTATTGGAAGAAAATAATAATAATTTATTGTCATTGTAAGTATATACACATACAACGAAATTCACTAAAAACTTCCATTAACGTGAATGGGAATGTTTCTTCTCATGCAAATAGCAGGCATTGATAGTTCAATGTGGGAATGTATCCCCATCTCCAATGCCAAGGTCTTGATTTGTCCCCCAGTGCTTGTGTACCTTTAAAAGCCTTCGGTGCAATGGCACAACACAATCTCCTTCTTTCATTTGCAAGTAGCAACTGAGAGTAGCACCTCCTGCATTTGACAAACTGAGACAAATTAGTTTTTAGAGTGACACAAGACTTCCAACACTGTTTTTACGAGACAGTAATGTTACTATCCATGAATGTTCTACTTCTTCAAGGACAGGACTGCAGTCATAGTTAAGTGGTTTGGCACATACATTGCTTACAGAAGGTGCCAGGTTCATTAACTGGCATATCCAGGTAATGCTGGAAAAGACTTCTATCTGAAGCTCTATCGACTAGTTGCCAATCCAAATGTACAATACTGAGCCAGATTCTCAAAAGACAGAGTCTTGCCTTTTCTGTCATTCTTCCTTTTAGCCTGAATGCTCCTTTATTTCAGTTACTGGCTAATTGGTGTTTTAATATTGCAGTACCTAATTCTTGTTCCCTGTTTAATATTGACAGTTCCCATGGAATCTGGACTTTGACAAGCTGCTGCTATGTACTCAGGTTAATATCTGATTCATGTCCAGCAGAAAAGTCAGTAGGTCACTAGGGCCTGATTGGGACCTTCTGTGCAATGAGAAATTCTGTGCACTTTCCCTTTCCTCCAACAGAAACACTAATCCACTTGTAACTCTTACTGTTGAAGACCTAGGGTCATGCCACAGACAATTTGCATCAAATTCTACTGAAACTCCAGGGCAACAGTTCCCCACATTGCAAAGCAGAGCTCTCCACCATGCAGCTGCATCTTTGGCAGCAAAGCAAAACTCTTTCCTATGCAGTGGCTTCCCACTTTTTAAATACTTCTTCAAAAAAATCTGTTGCTTTCCTTCAGTAATTGAAAATGATGTTGCAAGAAAGGACATATGCCTCTCCTGCCTGTATGCAGGTTATTGGCTGGAAGATCCCCATTCCTCATCTAAAGCCTTTAACCTGTGCCTGGTTTGTAATTTGTCCATGTTCAAACTAGTTCTCAGAACGTTTTCAGACAGGATTGAGGCGCATTCAGTCCATATAGGGAAAAACCCACAACAACCATTAGTTCTCAAAACGTTTTCAGACAGCATTGAGGCGCATTCAGTCCATATTGGTCACAATACACACATAATGTAAGCTGTTAGAGGCAAAATAAAATGTTTACCAGTCAGCAAAATCCAGTGTAATCAATTGAAAACTCTGCAAAGTTTGATAATCTTTCCTATTTAATTTCAATTCAGAAATTGAAGTTCAGTGAAAGATGGTGGCAGGGAATGCAGGAGGAAGGATTTTCACTCAGTGTTTGTGGTATGCTATGAAATCTACGGCTCTTCCCCTACAAAGGATGATACTGTAATTAGAAACACGGGAAATTGCCTTGTACCATTGGTCTATTTATTCCACTGTCAACGATAATGTGCAATGAGTCTACTGGTTTTGAGACAGATTTCTCTGGAAATTCTGGGGGCTGAACATGAAGCCTTCTGTACCTCTAAGCTAAGCATCTGTCCCCTAGTATCAAAATAGTTTGTTTGTTTGTTTAACTTATACGCCACCCACACTACCCAAAGGTCTCTGGGCAGCTTACAACAATTAAAATACAGTAAAAAGATAAAACAATTACAATTAAAATATATACTCTAAAAATCGCCATCAGGACCCACAGTTGATATTCCACTGTGGGTCTCTAGGTACGTCTCTAAAAATTGCCATCAGGACCCACAGTTGATATTCCACTGTGGGTCTCTAGGCATGTAACCTGATGGCAATTGATGAAAACCCCTTCTCCCCCCCTTTAACCTGATGGCAATTGATAATCACAATGAAAACCCCTTCTCCCCCCCCCAAGCCAGATGGCTGATGTCGAGGAGGGGGCGGGGCAGCCAGAGGCAGCGAGGGCCCAGTCCCGCAAGGCCAAGGGAGTCCAAGCCAAACTCCCCCAGGAAGGCTGGCAACCACCAGCAGCATAGCCTCATTGTCTCTCACTCAGTGCCTGAGGGGCGGCAGATAATGAAGACTCCCCCGAAGGCAGGAATGTTGGTCCACAATATTGTTGATGCTTTCTTGAAGGCGTAACATTTATTTCTTCCATGACTTTTCATTTAATTTCTCCTGACATCCTTATAGGAGCTGAAGTACATCAGCTGGTAAAGAACCCTGGAGAGTATTTTACTCTAGAAGAAATTGAGAAGGTGAGCTGTGGACAAAGAATGTTCAAAAGGACAAACAGACTATGTTATTGAATGTATTTAATCTTCTGTCTTCCTGATGGAGATGACTGGGGCAGTCAGGAATTTAGCAGCCTTTCTAATGGGAACATGCTGCCATCATAGAATTAATACTGTACTTTCTTTTTATCCTATTTTTTGTCACAGGGTTTGATTCAGTATGCTCCCTTTTTATTTTTTATTACACACGGAGAATCTTCCACGGGAGTGGTTCAGCCACTAGATGGCCTTGGAGAGCTTTGTCACAGGTTAGTGAGGCCATGCAGGGATCAAGGCCAATTTACCTCAAAGACAGAGCCAGAACCGAGGCCCTACAATGATAGTTTTAGCAAAGAAATTATTTAGCAGGGATCAAGGCCAATTTACCTCAAAGATAGAGCCAGAACCCAGACCCTACAATGATAGTTTTAGCAAAGAATTTTTTATTTATTTATTTAGATTTATACCCCTCCCATTCCGTGAACATGTCACTACTCTGGGAGGCAGAGTAGTATTTATTCATTTAAAAATGCAACAAAAAAATATAAATCAAATAACTAAATAAATAAATTTAGATTTATACCCCTCCCATTCAGTGAACATGTCACTACTCTGGGAGGCATAGTAGTATTTATTCAGAGTTCATTTAAAAATGCAACAAAAAATTGACTTTGACCCTAGCCTAGACATTCCACCCTAGCATTTCCTTCCCCTCCCTACTTGGTAACCTAGTACATACATATGATATATCAACAACCAAACTACTTCAGTCTTATATATGACTGTCATTAATACTGACAACCATACAAGAACAGACCAGGCAGAATGCATTACAGATGAGGCCTGGGGTGGAGGAGAGAGGTAAGCGGAGGGCCTGGAAGTTGACATAATTTTAGCACCTTTCATAGTCTCATATCTATCTAGGTCTCTGAGTAACTGTTGGAAAGCAGTCCATATATTTTAATATATTTTGCCCACTTTCCTCTTATTGGATTCTATTTTTTCTTTCACAGCCAACTCCATTGAGTCTGCCCAACATTCAGTTAAGAATGGGCTAGAGCATGTTTAATAAAGTTACACAGGCTCTGCTCTAGCATGTAAGCAAAAGCCAAATCATTTATTAGAACACTACTCTGTACTTAGATTCAGTACACTCTATGGCCATTAAAGATTATCTTTGCTAATATTACCCCAAAGACCAGTGTTTCAGACCACTAGCCTCTTCACAGTATGTTATATATGTTATAGTACCACAATATGATTTAGACTCACTGAGGCATATCTTCTGGGAAAGCAAATTGAAAGAATAACAAGGAAGAGGAGGAAGAAAAAGGAATATCAAAACAGAAAGGACCACAGTAATAGGTTTGTCCTATTAAGTTTCAAATTACAAAACTCTCAAACTAAGAATCTTTCTTTAAAACCCAAAACATCAGATAGACTGAATGAAGGAAGGCAGAATGGCGAGGTTCTTTAACTATTTTTTTAAAAATCACATATCCACAACAATGTTTTCCTCATAAGTGAATAAACAGTTCAGGGACAATGATTTTGAACAATAACAGCAAACAAACCAAAATATTAATAAAATTGCTGGAGAATGCATGGGTTTGCTAGCCTTCCAACATTTCAGCCCTTTTCAGTCAAGGGACTCCCCATAATGTTGGCCCAGCACTCCAATCCAAAGCACAGCCAAAGACACAGGATTATATTCTAACTCTTGTAGTTGTAGTTTTAGAAGAGGTAGCTATGTTAGTCTGTGCAAGCATATCAGGCAAAATCCAAAGAAACAAAACAAAACAAAACATCACATGTTTTTGTTTTGTTTTGTTCCGTTTCTTTAGACTTTGCCTGATACTCTAACTCTGTCTCTATTGTGCTTGTTTTAGGTATAATTGCTTACTACTGGTGGATGCTGTTGCATCACTAGGGGGCACTCCAGTACTAATGGACCAGCAAGGTGAGGAAGATACCATTCTCTCTCAATGTAACATGAATGCTGTTTTCTAAATTTGAGATTCTACACAAAGTTTATTTTTAAAATGGATTTTAACTTTGTATTTTCTAACAAGAATGGCTAGGCTAACTGACCCTAGCAAAAGCATGTGACAGAAGATAACCATAAGCATGCTGAGAATTTAGAGCTTGTCTAATTGCACACTAAATCTAACAGCACAGTAAAACGACCAGGGGAAAGTAAAGTCTATTACATGAGACCTTGTGTCCCTTTGTCACAGCATTTATAGGGCAGATAGATAAATCTGAAATTAATGCATAGGCATCTCCTGGGTCTGTAAGACAGTCCTCACCAGAGGAGGCCAAAGGTCTTCTGCTGATTCAGGTGAGAAGCAAGGTGCTGTCCTCCCATGTCACTGCCTGGCCTTGGAGAGGAATGCAGCCCCTGTGGGCAGCAGAAACTCCACATACTTCATTGTACCCATGCTTCCCAAAAGGGAAGGGGCAGGTTGCTGTGAAGCAAGCAGCTCTCCTTAGAGCTGGCTTTTTTCTTCGTTTTTGCCTGGTTCTGAAGATTTGTCTTAGAGCCCACACAAAAAGGGAAGGGGGTATAAAAGGGAATCAGTTCCAACTGCAACATAGGTGATTTCTCTGCTCATTCTCTCCACCTGCCTTGATTCCAAGAGGACTCCTAGAAGTAATGTTTTTAAGGGGGGGGGCTGTTTGATGTGCCACTTCCTACATCTTTTTTCTTGGCTGGTGTGCACACAGGAAAGTATATAAAGGCACAGCCACCTCCAACAGAGGGTGGTTGGGTGCCTCCCTTTCTGGAGCATGGTGAGGTGGTGAGGCAGGTCTCACAAGCAGACTGCCCCTCAGGCCATCCCTTAGCAATCCGCTCCCTGTGGCAATGGAAGGGAAACCTCTGGTTCTCATTTTGTAGGTGTGAAACAGGAGTTTCTAGGCTGGAGTGTACACTATACACTTGTGTTGGCTTACTGCCACTTAAACTATCCCTGCTTTCCTTCCCAAATTCTCAGAATCATAGTTTATCGAACGCTGCTGGAAATTCCTAGACCCCTACATTCTCTACAGAAAGAAAATGACTGCTAAATGGCGAAGTGTCTAATGGGAATATTTCTCCCCCTCCCCCCTTTTTTAAAGGAAATCCTCATTCCTCCTAATTTTGCAGTGATTTCTGAAACCACTGCTGTATAAAACATTTGTTTTTGAACCAGCCATAATATGGCGATGGATAGATAGGGAAAACCTTGTCCAAGACACTCTTCCAGCATAAAGCTTCTTTCCTGTGTGACAGCAAATAATGGAACTCTTTTTTTTTTCTTTATTGAACACACAGAAATCGACATTCTATACAGTGGCTCCCAGAAAGTCTTAAGTGCACCGCCTGGTGCTTCTCCTATTTCATTTAGCAACAGAGCAAGGTAAAATTTCCTTTTGAAATATGTTGCAATCAACAGTGGAGCATAGATGGCATTGTCTACTGCACCCAAGTAGCTTAAAGGGTGCAGGGCAGGTTGTGGGGCACATGAAATAATGGAAGGCTAATTGTTCCACTAAGGAAATGAGGTTGGATCTAGTGGTGTACAGAAAGGGTCTTCTATTCACAGAAAAACTGTTCTGCATCTTGCACTGAAGCACTTGTGAGAATTATGAAACCAAATCCACAAATGCCTTGTATCTCCTGCAACACTTTACCCAATTTGTTGTGCAACTTTCCTTACAGAAGCTCTAAATGAACTGTCACACAATCTCTTATTAAAAGCATTTGTGATCTCTTTTTTTTTAAATTTATGATATCAGAATCCTATCCTAAATAAAAACTAGCTGAGTACAGTACCTACATCCTGGAGTTTAACATTTGCCTTTTCTTAAGAATTCCAGTTATAGGTGCCTCATATTAAAGAACATCTATAATTCCTTACTTCTTTCTGACAAAGGGCATTTAGCGGGAAGTGATGTTATTTGGTCTTAGCTTTGAAAATCTTGAGAAACTTGCCAAGAGTGTTCCACTGACTGACTGAGTCTAAGCACTCTGTTTCTATAAATCATCACAGTTTTTTTACCACAGAGGCAGGTCTGTTATATCTCACCAAGGGACCATTTCACCATTCTATGTCTGCTGTGGCAGATAAATGAAAAGGCAAAAAACAGCTTTGGGACTCTGAAGTAACATTGTATTTTAAATTAAAGTGATTTTGTTTAACAACCAACAAATAATGTGATAATTTCATCTCAATGTCATAATTTCTTCCTCATGTATATTGCAGATCTCTTATTCAGATCCAGTTCTCTGAGGATATGGCCCCCAAACCATTATTACATCAGCAAAATGACCTCTTGTTCTTTGTGGCTTTGAAGTGTAAAGTTTATTAGAGCACATACTAGGGCAGAGGTCATACAGAACTTGTGGTTTGCAGAATCAAAACTGAAGTGCTCAATTTTTGCCTTTCCATTTTGTCAGGAAGAAGATTTATAACAGAAAGACAAAACCATCCTCCTTCTATCTGGACATGGAAGAGCTGGCTAAATACTGGGGATGTGATGATAATCCAAGGAAGTGAGTTTTACCACATAGCATTTTTATTGATCATCTAGAAGGTAGCACCTTGATTTCCTCAAAAGGAACTGGGCAGGCGATGGGCTGTTATGTGTCTATTCACCTGCATGGCCATTCCTGACAACATATGACAATCTCTGTTCTGTACATGGGACAGAATCTTGTGGGGGAGGTGGGAGACTTTGAATAGCATGGGAAAGGATGATCAGTCCCTGCCGTTCTCAAGGGCAGCCTCCAAGGCTGCTTTACACTGAAAATACAAAGCTGGGTTTGTTTGTGGAAGCTATAAATTGAACATCATTATCTTTCTTTCTGACTTGGAATGATCTGAAGCACAAAGCATTACTGCACAGTCCTCAATCAGGTATGGCTTTTAAAGTGTAAAGTCAACATAGTGCAACATTTCCTTGCTTCATTATGCCACTCCCCAATCCTAGGTTGCTTTGGGATAGAAGTTGATAGTAAAATAGCAGATTAGAACATGATTTCTGATTGTTTCTCTCTATGCAAGCTGAACATCCCTGATAATCAGATGCATTTTTACAGATATCATCATACTGCTCCCATCAACACATTCTTCTGTCTACGAGAAGCTTTGGCAGCTCTTGCAGAAAAGGTTAGTCACTGTAGGAGACTGTAAGACATGCTGCCTAAAGAAGGGTGGGAGGAATGGAGAGGCAAACAGGTATTCTAATACTACTGTTTCTACTTCTTGAGCAAAATTAGAGACGGAAATTTTAGAGCTGCTTTACAGACTAATGCTCATAGGAGAAATAAATAGAGCATATCATCTTTTCTTAATTGGAAACAGAATGAGAAATCTTCAGAGCTGATGCTGAGCTCATTTTCTAAGTCAGTCCTTTGTTTCTCTGACATTGGTGTGGAAGATGCCATGAGTATGATGTGGCAAAAAATAAAATGAGAAGAATAATGTACCAATTTTGGGCAGTTCTTTGTCATCAATGGTCAAAGTGTCGGTAAACCAATTAGCATTTTCAGTCACAAACCTGCCATATTCAGAAGTCAGATTGATTATACTGCTAAACATATAAGAACTTGCTTTTTTTTCCTACACAGGGGCTTGAAACCTCTTGGAAACTTCATAAGGAAAACAGTCTGTATTTGTGTGAAGGACTGCAGAAGTTAGGCCTCAAACTCTTCGTGAAAGAACCGGTATGCCTGAAACAACAGTCATGATTGTCAACAGTCATGATTGTAGAATGTTCGGTATGCCTGAAACAACAGTCATGATTGTAGAATGTGGGTCAACTAATAAGTAATGCAAGAAACACTGTACGTGTCATATCACATGTATGTAGCGTTTTAGGGTTTTGTGCATGTTTTGCATCTTGAAACACTACAGATTAAACTACAGTATGCTGCTTATATACAGCCCCAGAGTACTTAAAGCTCTCTCTGGGCAGTTTGCAGTTTAATTATGCATGTTGTACATTGCACCCCTCTCCCACAAGCTACTGGCCTTTGAAGGATGGAAGGTTAGTCAACCTTAAGCCAGCTACCCTGAGTCCACGATCAAGCTCTTGATTGCAGTACTGCAGTTTAACTGCTGTGCCAAGAGGCTTCTACGTATAGTGGTACATAAGGGCCTCTGCTGCTCATTGAAGGCTCTCACACATTGTTTTATGAAAACTGTAAACTGCCTTGAGTGCTGCATTATAGCAGAAAGGCAGGCTTTAGCCATCATTATTAACAATAGTGGTAGCTCAGCGGTGGCAGTTGCCACCACTGCCACTGCCAGAGGAGTAGGGCTCCTACCAAACAAGCAAGGAGAAAAATGCTTGATGGTGGTGATCTTTGATCCAGATTTCCTACCAATTTTAGAGAGAGCTCAGGAGTTTATATAAAACCAGAAAGCATATTGCCTTCTGTTCTGCAGGATGCAAGACTTCCAACAGTCAACACTGTTTTTATACCCGAGGGATATGACTGGAAAGAAATAACTGAATATATTATGAAAAATCATGGGATTGAAGTTTCAGGAGGCCTGGGTGCTTCAGCAGGCAAGGTAGGTACACCCTTATGGTCAGAAATAATAAAATAGATAATTTTCACTTTTGTAGGCTTGGGTGAATTAGTAAGTCTTATAGGACTCTGCAGACATGGCTATGAATTCCTAATTCAGTGGCTCAAGTTGAGGATTATAAATTCACATCCTCAAAATGGACAGGCCATGAAAAGCTAGCTGGCTAGAATGTAGCCTTCCCTCAAATATTTATCTTTTGTATATGAAGAAAATAAACAGTTAAATATGGAAACACACTCTTTCACCCTGAAGCAGAGGGCTCCATGGAGGGACAAATCAACTAAGTCACATATAGTGGTATACATTAATGGGGCGGTATATACATGCAAGAAAGAATATAGATCAAGTTTGAGTCCAAGTCACATGGCCATTTCTATTTACAGGTATGAATAACAAAAGAGGAGAGCTGGCTCAGGCTTTCCAAGAGTGTTGTTTCTAAAAATATTTTCTCATCACCAGGTTCTTCGAATAGGACTGATGGGTTACAACTCTACTAAATTCAATGTTGACAGAGTGCTTCGCGCCCTGGAAGATGCTCTCCAGCATTGTCTCAAGAATAAGCTATGATATCTTACCTCATTGTTTAGAGAAACTGGTTCCTATCTTCTCTTTACCCTCACTCTCTCAATCTGTTTAGAGCAGTATTGCCCAGTGGTCTTTCTAATAAATTGCTTCAGCTTTGCTATCTTTCACAGTGCACTTAGAAAGAGAAATCCAGAAGAACTAGACCAGTCATTGAAGCCAAAATTCTCAAGATGTTTCAGTGCTTTTTTTATATGAGCACATTCAAAATTCCTTTTGTTCATCCCACAGTGTTTGCAGAGCTATACTGTAGCTTACAGTTCACAGGAAATAAACTTCATTTTAATTTCACCTTGTTCTGTGGACAGGAACAGAACTTTGTGAACTATCTGCGAATTCTCCAACAAGGCTGTCTGATTAGTTGCTGTCATCCTCTTTCTTTCCCCTCACTAAATGTACTTTTAATTGTGTAAGCTGGAGTAGTGCACATCTGTACAAACATGCACATGCTTTAGGTGCTATGTAGATATGAGAGACTATGTTCTAGACATAAAACTTTTAAATCTTTCAGAGTACAGCTTCTGCCTCTTATTATGATGTTGAAATCTTGTTCGTTCTCATCTCTTCTGGCTATAGGACCGTGGGAGTACTGAAAAAATGTATTCAGCATCTAATTGCAGGCACAGTTGTACAACAGGATGCTGGCAAGTATCCTATTGTGAGATACTGCATGTGGAAGAGAAATTGCTTGAGTCATTTCCACAGTTTTCTGGCTGTTTGTTGCGCATCCAAGCAAACAACTGAATCCATATCTGATTATGTCTGAGCATGCAACAAACAGCTAAATTATCATGAACACCAGTTACGCCATTTAGGGTTTATGGTGCACAAACCAATAGGATTCTAGCTGTTGAGGTACACACAGTTCAACTGTATCTGTGATGCATCAGGCATGGCACTATGATAGTGTATCACTTGTAGAACAAAATAGGAAAGTGCTGCATAAACACACTAGAAATGCTAAAATAAAAAAAAAGAATAGCTTCCAAACAACTGGAAGAATGTATACAAAACAGTATTAAACATTGGTATAAAGTCATAGGAAAAACAACATATATAATTATGTAGCAGCATGGGTATAGTTGAGAGTTGAAGTACAACGTGTTTACTACTCACATTTCATTCGCACCACCTTCCACATAGAAATCACAATAGATTGATACCTGGGGGAAAGTTGCAGTTTCCCGGCATCAAAACATTCTGCTTTCAATGTTGGAAAAATGTCTCTTCAAAATAGAAGTGCGGTCTTAAGCAACTTGTGTATTTGTTGCTTTTAAAAAATCATTTGTGTAAAGCAAACACAGAGGTGACAAAGAAATATACACTAAGACAAGAGAAAGAAAATAGTTTTCAGGAAGCTGATGGTGATATGAAATTCAATTTATTTAGGGTGTTTGCATATTTTAATTTTCTGATTAAACCCTTTCTATGGGATTTTGAGTGACCATAAAGGAATTGAGGCCCTTACCTTCACACTGACAATGCGATTATACCACCCTGAATGCTCTAAAATGCTTTTTACTCCACCCTCCTAGTGGCATAACAAAATGGATTAAAGCTGTGCACATCAGGATTAAGCTGGGTATTAGCTGAAGTTCAGCCAAACCAAATATAATGAAAACTTATTCCTGTGCCATCAAAACAATAGGTTTCAGGGGTATATGACCCTTTTCCAGTGGTAAACACCAACTTTTTTCAACATTCCCCAATCCATTGAGAAAGAAACTAAATTGCTCTGCAGCATCTCCTTTTTCCTCCGTTTATATTCCTTCTATTGTTCTCTTAAGAGGTCATAATTCTATGACCTCTTAAGAGGTCATAGAAAAAGTCACCAGTTTTAAACCTCTATGACTGGCAAGTTCCCACTCATTTTATTAAGGCTGCTACTGACCAAAAATGACATTTGCTACTGATCTTTTTTGCTCTTGGGTGGAGCAAAAAATCTTGCAATGGTTGAACACTTGATGTGTTCTCTCTCAATATACCTATTTTCATAAAGAATGAGAAAAGCTGTAGTTAATTGTTGCAGCTTTCCTTCTTTGCTGTAACTGTTGCAACTACAAAAATGAGTCAGAGGTTACTATACCTTGCATTACAGTTAGTTTTTTCACTTCATGTTTTTTAATTTATCTTTCAGTAGAGAAAAGTGAAGTAGCCATTTTCCCAAGAGGCATCTAATTTTAATTGTTCATGTTATGTTTACTAGACTGGCTGCAGTTTCCCTCAAAGAGGTTCTAGGTAAAATGAGATCTGTGGATAAAAAAATAAGTAGCAGCTACTGCTCTGCATACTTTCAACCCTAATTAAATTTAGCTTAGTTCAACACTTCCAACATCATACTAATGAACAAATATTATCTATGCCCCCAACATTCAGCCCACTGTGGACTACATCCAGCCACAAGATATAAACATTGATAATTCAAGTTTATACCTGATGTGTGGAACTGGTTTCTATCCTGTTCCAGGTGTATAACCCTCTCTGGCAGGCTTGCATCACCACCAGAGCCTGACTGATAAAGCGGATGCCACAGGATCAGATCAAGGATTTAACTAGCCAAGCATCTTCAGTAAACTCTTCCTCCAATTGAGCATAAGCCACGGAAATGGCCAGAAGCACCTTCTTTACTTTTGTCCTCTCCTTGTGAACATTCCAGTTTTTGTTTGGAACACAAGTTCAGTTCAATAGGGATTTAAAAGGAATAAGCCACACTGGCATGTACATAGCGAACCAAAACAAGTTTTGGTGATGTCAAGCTCTAAAAATTCTAAATTAAAATTACTAGATAGTGATCCAGCAAGTACACGTTATCAAAGTATTAACTAAATTTTGGTTATAGTTTTTTTTTTTAAAAAAAATAAGGAAAACAACTAGGCTAGGAGCGCATGAACCTGAAAAAAGATATACAATTCAACCTAAGAAGAACATGTCCCTGTTGGCTCTGCTAAATTCTCTTGATGGCTTTCAGTACCATCAACCATGGTTGATGTATTCTCCTAGGTTGTTTGCCAGGCACAACATTGGGAGGCATTGCTTTGCAATAGCTTTGGCTTCAGGGTTCAGTGGCTGCCAGGGGTGTATTTGAACAGCTAAAGATAGTGTGCCAGCTGCAGCCATTCCTAGAGATGCCCAATGTAGATGTGATAACACATTCCTTTTTACATATTTCTATGCAAGGCTGCTTTTGAAGATGGTTTGGAATGTTCAGCTGTCTCAAAATGCAACAGTTTGACTAGGGCTAGTTACATAGATCATATATCGCCCCATAACAACAGCTCCATTTGCTATAGTCCATTTTACAGTCCCATTTGAAATGCTAGCTTTAACCTATAGAGCCCCATATGACTTGGATCAGGTCTAGATTACTGAAGGACCTCCTCATATGGGCCTCACTTTAAGAGGTTCAGGGAGGCCCTTGCCTTCATACTTGCCATCATCAGAGGCACACCTTGTCCCTTGTCAAGGACATAAGAGAGGATAGGATAGGACCTCTTTGGTGGATGATCCAAGGCTGTGCAACTCTTTGGCAGGCCAGTTTAGGCTGACCCTTCCCTCTTGTCTTCCTGGCAAGCAAATTCTTTTCTCTTAAGACAGGCTTTTGAGAACTGCCTGAAGAGAAAAGCTCTACAGAGAAAAGAGCTTTTAATAGGGAATGCTGCTCTCTTTGAAAAATGTGCTTTTAAAAAATGTTTCTGAATTAATTTAAGACAATATATTTTACCATTATTTTATGCATTATTCTACTGCATTTAAATATTCTATAGTGTTTTAGACATATTCATTTTTAAAATAATTTTGGCAGCTGCCCTGAACCCCTGTGTGGAGCGAAATATATGAATTAAATAAACAAAATTTGAAACATGGACCAACCTGTTTTCTTTATTCTGTCTATAATTTATGCTATTTATTAAGATACTATTAAACTAAGGTTCAGATTCTTGCTTGGACAAAGAAACTCACTGGTGGGTAGGATTGGTGTAACTATTCCTTAGGTATTTCACTTACCTTGAAAATCTAATTAGATTGGTTCCGACTTAACAACACACAACACAAAAATACACACAGATGACTTGTAACTCTTCCAATAACCATAAGAATTCAACAGAACATTTAAAGTGGAAAGTCAGAATTTTCACTCAATGTTGACAATTCATTTTACAATTCTATCATTATGACATTTGAATGAAATCAGAGAAAGTAGTCATTTTTTAGAATGAACTGTTGTCTGACAATGATAGATTATCACTAGTTGTCTGTAGACCTAAATTTTAATGCCTTCATGCTATGCTAAAGAATACTTACATTGTAATCCTTCCATCAAGACAAAATAAATATGAATGCGTCCAAGCCATTTTAAATATGTTATCCAGTAAAAGGACATTTTTATTTACAGTGTTTTTCTATTTTGTACATATTTATAGCAACATCAAAAAAAGTATTCACAAAGCTTCACTGAGTGCAAAATGTCACTTCATTATCACCTACCATCTTACTATTTCATCATGCTTTCCTCAAATATTACCCAGATTGTCTTAGCATAGTTTATATCCTTCTTTTGTGTGTGTGTGTGTATTCACACACACACACACAATGCATTTATATACTGTATATCTATATATACTATATATATAGGGCCATTCCATTAAAAGGTGACCTCCAAGCCTGAAGATGAAACTTTGCACATCTCAGCTGTTTTTTTTTTTGTTTTTTGTTTTTGTTTTTTTGACACAGTTTTAGGCATATCAATAAAGTGAATGGATATGCATATGGGTGATGGAGGCATGACAACAACTTTGGAAGTGCATGTGTTGTTAAACAATCCAGAGTGCAAATGCAGCAGCCTAGCTGACAAAGCCCTCCCTTTCTCCCCGGGGTGTACCACAGCTGACCAGGAAGTGATTTTTTTTCCTCAGTATTATGAAGGCTACAATCACTTTAATGACTTAACTAAGGCTTTATTTCTGAGGTACTAAGTGAGCAGGTGGGCACAATGTGCAGACCCGCAGAAGCCCAACCCCAACAAACTTGTAGCAATGACACTGAGAAATGACATCACTCACTTCTATCCCTGAATCATTATTACTTGCCTTTCAGATATATTACATTATTACCTTATATGAAAGCTCTGGTTTTATTTTGCTATCTCACTTCAACGCATAAACAGTTCCAGCTAGAGAGTCAAACTCTAATCTCTGCTTCAATATAATAAATGTGATGTGCTTAAGCAGGTGAGTACTTATTTATTACAAACAAAAAATTGGATGACCAAAGTTGGTATGTGAGATTAGACATTAAGCCTCTGATGAGCACTCTTTGTTGACACCCATCCCTTCTGTGGGCTCCATCCACAGAAAATGTAACTGGTGAATTATGAAGCATGAGGCATATGGCAAATCATATTGATCTTGTTTTCTTCTGTTCAAGAATATGTTTAGTTCCACCATCATGCACATCTGGAATAACAATAAAAATGGGTTTCGGGTTTCATTTGTACCCAGATATTCAATGGGTCTTTCCTTTCATGTTTACTCCTGCGTAGTTCCAAACAAAAATAGCCATTTTAAAAAAATCAAACAATTCATCATCACAGGTTCAAGTCATGTAAGAACAATGCAGAGTTTTATAACATGCAGTTTTTCTGAGGCAGCAGTGGCACTGACATGGGGAACTATACTCTTCTTGCTGGGTAAGCCCAGCAGATACGATTTCCATATGTTCAACCCTGGAATCATCTAACAAGTGTATCTAAGAAGGCTCCATCTTGGTTTCTTTCAATTTTGCCATTGCAAGTCCAGGGAGCTGGCACCAGTAACACTTGGCAGTAGGAGGCCAGCTACAGTCACATTACATGTGCTACCAGCCATTTAAATGTCATTTTGTTTCAACAGAGAAGTACAGGTACATTAAGCTGAGGTTTAACAAATGCATATATTTTACTTAAAAACATTCATCTGATCAAAATAAACTCCATGGGACAAAACGGGTTTTTAAATAACATTTCAATTCAAATTGTATATAATTCTTTAAAGTTTTCATACAGCAAAGAATGGTTAATCCTTGAAAATCTGTAGAAAAAACACAAAAAGGAAACAAAAGCTCTGAGGTATTACACCCACCCAGACACAGCCTTACATAGGCCATGGTAGAAGCAGAAAATTGTAGGCCCAAAGAAAAAAGATGATTGTTCTAGAGTTCAGGTAGCTCAACAAAACTTTCCCAGAATAACGTTCTGCGTAAGGAGCTACCATAGCAAAGTTCTCAAGTGCGTTGGAGACCTGATCACTTAAACTGCTCCTGCCAAGCAGCTCCCTGCACCTGAGAGAAATGCAGCCCAAGGTGCCTTGTGCAAAAGATAAGGAATTAGGTGCGGCTATTTCCTGTTATTCCTTATTACATAGCTTCGAGAGTTGTACAAGAGTCCAACATGTCTTTGATCACGCAAGATACTGCTGGAGTGCTGTCTTTGCCCTGGAAATGAAAAACATTTTGTCAATCACCAAGGAATTGCAAGTACATGTACTATATGTGGGCTCTTTAATAACATCACAGCAGAGTGATGTAGTGGAAAATTGGGTACACAGGTTTTCTTCACAAAGTTGGATAACATACATAAATAAAGCTGGATAATATAATCTTCAACTTCTCAGAAGGCAGTCTGAAAAACTAAGTAACTGTTTCCTTAAATGTCTGCTATTGAAATATAAACTATGATGCAATACATTCCCTTCCAGGATTTCAAAATTTGTCTTGTCCACCTGCAATGAAGGATGGGGGAACTGGATAGTGTGGGAAACCAGAATCATGCAAGAATGCACAGTGCTCTCCCTCTAAGCCACATATTAAATTAAGATGTAGACTGCATGCAATTTAAGAACCATATGATCCCCATCCTGACTGTATAATACCAAAAATATTTCATTTTCATACATCTTCTGAAATATTTTTAATGGAAATTTCATTTACATTAAACCACCCTTGAAAGACCTTGCATAACAAAAAACAAAATTTCATGACATCTTTAAGAATAATAGATCTATTGTAGCATGAGCTTTGGTAAATTAAAATCAATTTCTTCAGAAAAATGGACTACAATACTGTGGTTCCAGGTGTATCTGTATGTATCTGTGGGATTGGGAATAGGGTGAAATGAGGTACAGATTATGACTTTTTCATTAACACTGGCAATATCTTTTCAAATTGTTAATTACAAGATGAACCTGGCGAAAGTCTAGTGTGGAGATGGGCACAAACTGAAGTTTGGAGGTTCAGTGCCATGCCCACAGAGGTGTTATGGAGGCAGCGCACTCTCCCTTCTCCCGCTTCCTCTGAATGCTCGCCAATTCCCCAAGCGATGTCTGCTCCTCCCACCCACAGTACAGTACAGTATGCCAATAAAGGTTTCTGCCTGTCTGTCTATAGCCAGCTAAGAAGGCCCTGTCTCTGTTTAAAATTCTAGTTAGCACAGTGGAATTTATAACCATCATACCTCCCTCTCAAACATCCCTCTGCAGTTCCTTTTAGTCTACAGAGACCATTTTTAAATCAGTAACAGAATGTCTTTGGAAGTTGAAACATTCTGGATTTGGCTGATATCCTATTGCTTTTACCTTATACCACATAAAGCCGATGATGTCTTCAACTGCAGACATTTTTCAGAAATTAAAAATATTCTACTCTCTCTCCAAAGGTCCTGAGGTTTCCTTGGGATCCCTTTCACCATGGAGCGCCATTAGGGACCACATAATGGAACAGGGGATCTTTAATTTCTGAAAATTGCTGCAACAATATTTCAGCCTTTGTTTTTATTTGATTTTGTTCTATGTATTGAAACAGGCTCATAAGCAACCACTCTGAGAGCTCCTTAAAAGACTAAGGATGATTCTAAAGTCTGCAAGATAATCAAAACAATAATAAGTAACAGTGACACCTAGAAGGAATAAAACTTACTACGCAATCAAATAAGAAATGTACAACAACTAACGTTATCCCAGCACTGTAATGAACATATGTTCTTTAACACAGCCCAAGATAATTCAAATTTGGTTTGGAGTTGTTTTATACTTACTTATCACAAAGATTTGGATCTGATGACTGACTCAATTTGTGTAGAATATCTACTATTCCAATATCTCTGAGTTTATCCTGACGGTCTTGGGAACCTATAGGAAAACTTCATATTACTAATGATGTGTTTTATGAAATTTGCTAAGAGTGCTTCTAGAGCTGTAAGGAATGTATACAATGCATTACAAACAATTTGTCCATTCATACTCCAGTTAGCTCAAGCTGTTATGAATACATACATGAGAATACATTCCACAAAGTGATTCAAGATCAGAAAATTAAGACCTTCTTTATGTATCATAAGCCACTGAGCAAAAAATCAGTACCAGAACAATTTACCAGTGGTAACTCTTTATTTATGGCACTCCTTTCCAAAGGTGATTTAGGGGAGCTTTAAACATTTTTATTAGGTTAGGCCTTTCAGATTTAGGCCACTGAGACCTAATGGTTTTGATAAGACCATTTGAGCACTGAGCAGGAAAACCTCACAAACACAGTAACAGGCTACTGTGCTTGCACAAGCATTGCTGTTGATCAAACAAGAGGACAGGCTTTATTCGTTTGTGCACAATGACAACACTTGGGCAAGCAGAGCTACGTTGGTGCAACTTGCCAGTCAGCAGCAGCTCAGCACAATGCTGGCCATTATTATTCATTTTCAGACCCATCTGACAGTTGATTATACTAATGAAACATATCAACATTTGTGGAGAGTTGCACTGTTACTCTTTCAATAAGCAATACTTACATTTTATCAATATTCTACAGTTCTTATACAATGGTCAAAACGTTGCACAGCAATGCAGTTGCACAAGCAGTTGGAAAATTTATACTGAGGCAGAAGCCATATTTACTTGCAGCTCAGCAGTTGCAGTTGTACAACTATTTAACAATCAACTGTGAAATCAAGCACTGTCTGGGTTTAACTGCCTGCTATGTGAAGTACAACAGGATTTCAGCTAGAGCATTAGTTCATCCTTCTAAGTTTAGTGTTTTATCTAATCTGAAGTACTTGACATATATTACTTTTGTTGCTGTAATAATGTAGAATAATAATAATTGGCAAGAACAACAGAATTCTTTCTGAAATTGTAGCTGTGCAAGCACTTCAACAAGAAACACAAAAGAAAAGCAAAAGAGACATGTTGGCACCTTAAAGACTAACTGCTATATTTTAATGTGAGTTTTCCACAGCATCTTTATTTGCTTTTTTTTTTGCTTTATGTTTCTTGTTAGAATTCCTTTCATTAATCAGCCTAAATAAATAAATAAATAAATAAATAAATTCTGAAAACAGCATTTCCAACACTTAGCCAGTATTTTTTGGAAATAAATAACCCTATCACAGATATGCCATTTACCCTGTTCTTACATTACACATAGCATGTCTTACACATAACACTAATTTAGAACAATCTGAAATTATTTCAAAGTGAATATGCTACAGATTTTGGTTTGCAGTACTTAATGTTTTCGCATAATTTATCATGAGAACATTGTTATAAATACTTCTGCCTAACTTGAGTGGTTCAAGGGCGCAATACCTAGATGCACTTACTTTTGCCTCCTTGAGAACTGTTTTCACAGAGCTCCGCTTCCAAACCATGCCAACCGCTGTCTTAGATGGCAGGTACATGAATGTCCCTAAACATCTAAGGCTGTGCATGTGCGGAGCAGGTGAGACAGAGGATGTTCTCCATTATTTACTCTATTGTCAGCTATATCAGACCCCTCGAGAAAAGCTCCTGGGTAACATATTGGCTGCTCTACAGGAGGAAACCCCTCAGATAAAGGTGGTCAGGCTACTCTTGGACTGTGACCCATATGTTACGTATAGAGCAGCGCTATTCGCAAAAGCGGCCAGAAACATTCGGGCTAATGTTTTGAAAGCCATTGCGATCAATTGTGTGGGAGATTCTCAGATATGAGGGGTCTCTTATTATTTTATTTGTCTGTGGTTTTTATCATGATTTTAATTGACCATATCTGTATTTTAAACAATTGTGACGGCTTTTAGCTAATACAATAAACTTGAACTGGGAAACTTGAGTGGTTCTGGTTACCAACTGAATGATACAAATAAGTTCTGACTATTTCAAAGCTTTCACAACAGGGCTATCAATAATGGAACTCAGTGCTCCATGCTTCCATGGGTGGGCTGAGACTAGAAGAGAGGTCTGCGGTCCGGTGGCGGTCCATGGCCTGAGCTGGACTGGGCTGCAGAGACTTACCTCCTGCCCCCTCTGCATGCACTCACCCCCGCACAGATGATTTGCGCCACCTTTTGCGCATGCGCCCGAGTGTGCCCGCGTGAATGCCACATCTCCATTTGTGCATGTGCACGAGCATGTGACAGTGCCGTGCCTCCATTTGCACATGTACTTGTTGGTGCATGCACACAAGTGTTTGGGGGTGATCTGTCTTCCCCAGCAAGTCCGCAGGGTGAAAAAGTTTGGGGACTCCTGGACTAGAATGAATTATGCTACTTATTTTTAAAAAATCCATTTCTACACTACCAGCATTTAACAGCAGACTGCATTATGTTGAGAACTTTTATTCAATGCTTCAGAGTATCAATTAGAAGTATGAACCTGGGCTCAACATTTTGGGTCCTTTCCCCTCCAAGCTTCTTATGTTGCCACAATCCAGCCATAAACAAAGTGTTCCTAGAACTAAAATTTGACACCCTGGAAATCAGTGGGAACACTTTACCTTTCATTTCCCCCTCTATCTATATGGTTTTGTGCATATTTTGCCTTGCAAGCCAAGGAAATCATATAACCAGCTCTTTTGACCTCATCCTTCTTTTAATTTAGTAGTATCTATACGGATGATGAAAACTCATTCTATATGCTGAGTTTTCTATATGCTGAGTTTTCATTCTATAACTTTATTTCACTCTATATATAATTACTTGGAGTATTCCCCCCTATCCTCACTTATATCAAAAGAGGTTGGAAGAATATTTATGAACAATGGACTTAAGTATCTTATATTCTTACCTTCTTCTTCATTCCATATAAGATTAGATACACAAAACATTGCAGCTAGTTGAAGTTTAGCATTTGAATGGCTCTGTATGTGGGTAAAGAAACAAAAGACCATCAATCCTGTTCCAATAGCAAAATGAACAATACAGACAATACAGTATAGTTATATATAAGCAATCTAAAGTCAAGGGAGGGTGATACTTTAACTAGATAACTGAAAAACATAAGCCACGTGGGCCTTCAACTAGCTTTTATTGTGATTTTTAGTGGTCTAATAGAGCTATCACCTACCCTTTCCCTTCAGATTGTGTACAGGGACCACATGTGAACAGAAAGCCATTACTTTAAAACATTTAATTCATGACTACTTTATCATCTCTCAAAACAACCATATTTGCATAAAGGGGGGCGGCTTCCAAATTCCTCAGTGGGAAGGAAGCTGGGTACAATTACTAGGAGAAGGAGGGGGTGCATCTTGCAAATACTATGCGATAGCTATATAGCTCTATTCTAAAAGGAACTCTTTAGCTTTTTATCCAAAGAACAAAACTTTTCTTTAAGATCATTACATGAAACTATTTAACCCTGTGTCAGACCAATGGCTAATCTATTCTGAACTGTCTACTCAAACTGGCCAACATCTTTCTGGTCTCAAACAGAATTGCTTCTGCCACAGATCTTTTTACTGAAGAGACTGTGACCGTCTGCATGCAATGCAAATACAAATGTTCTGCTATGAAGTTATGGCACCTCCCTTAAAAATTATTCATATTAACACCAGAGACAGCTATACAGTAAGTTACATACCATGTAATACTTTATTTTTTGCAAGATATCATCATTTGTCATAATGAGTTCTTTTGCTGTTGTTCCATCTGCTATGTTGGCAAGTATACATAATGTCTGGGGGAAAAAAACAAAGGGTGGCAGTATATTGCAAAGAAAGAACAAACTAACTTTGAACCTGTGTCTCTGGCTAGCCCAGAAACTTGCCTTGGGCTTGGGGAATGACTCTGCCTTGCCAGATTCATTGCCAATATTTAAGACACTATTGCAGCTGGACAAATCTGGACCTGAACTAGGGCAAGAGAACAACCTCTACAACCAACCCCTCAATCAGCATGTAGGTCTTCAACTCTGAAACCATTAAATGGGTCTCTGCTTGGCCAAAGAGAAATAAGAAACATATTTCTTTCACAAACATCCAGTGGAAGGCTTGCACCTCTTCACTGCTCCTTGCTGCCTGAGTTTTTCCCCTCTACCTTGCAGCATGTCCATGTGTAGCTTTCAATTTGGTGCAGCTTGGGAAATCCTGTTTCATAATTGTTTAACATTTTTATTTATTTATTTATTTTGTAGGGTGGGTTTTCAAAACCTCCTATTTTCCAGTTTTGATGCCTGGAGGCTTAAACAGCAGATGGCAAACACACACACACACACAAGCAACCTTATACAGGTCACCACATTCAAGTTCTGACTGAGACAAATTCTCAATGAAGGACTTGGCATACATATTAGATAGGTGCTTAACAGACCCACTCCTCTCTATATTCCCCCCCCCATGTATGATTTAATTTAGCAGCGATAATACCTGTTCTTTTACTTCTACATTGTGCTCTCCTTCCAGAATGAGGGTCACTGCTTGCATGATTTGTTTCCCGTGAGTACTTATTATCTGATCTATATGCTGCCAAAATAGGAAACACAAGTGTTATTGTTACAATACATGGTAACAAAAACAAAACATAAAACAAAATACAATCATAACTCGAATTTACATTGTTAGCCATCATCCTTAGAATTTTTTATTATTATTTTTAAATGTCAACTTATTTTCTTTCTTTTTACATGGAAGATCATGGCAACGGAGCCATCAATGGAGGTGAGAAAAGGTGGTTTATAGACTTTTGGGGTTTTTTGGCAGCATCTCCCAGAATTCTGGGTTTTGAAGTGTAAAAATGTTTAAAGTCCCATGCCTAACAGATCATCTGGATTCTAGATTATTATTACACTCTATCAGAGGGGAATAAATGAGATTTATGTGGGTCTTGGTTGCTCACAGTACCAAGAATAACAAGCATTTTATTCTGAGAATTATCAGACATGGCATTTTATTAATAGCACTGTAAAAGTCAGGCCAGTCGTTGTCGTGCTTTTCTTTCCACTATAAATTGCACAAACTTTAAACTGTGCTGGTGGACACTACAGTATCACCCTAGAACTAAGAATTTAGTATCCCAAATCCTCTTGTTTTCTCGTGCCTGTCAAAGTGAAAAGGCATAACCTCCAGCAGCTTTGTGCTGGCAGTTAATGAGTCCGTGCTTGCACCTTCCAGCTCCAGTGAAGCCACTCTGCCAGCAAGAATGCACTGCCAAGTAACTCCATCTGCTTTCCACTGATATAACTGAGGGAAATAGTTTGGGCTAGTATGTAATTTGCAAGCTGTAACAACCTAATTAGTTAGTTATCCAATCAGAACTGATTTATGGTGACCCTGATAGGGCTTTCAAGTGATATATTTAAGGAGTGGTTTTACCAGTTTCACTCCCGCAGTGAGCAAGGATTTGAACTTAGCAGGGATCTGAACTCTGGTCTCCATGATCTTTTTATCCACTATGCCACACTGGGTACCACCACATCAACCTAAAATGGCCAAAATCCTATTGTATATTTATGCCAGTGGAAGGAAAGTGATGTTACTCACAGTGTTAATTGCTCCTAACAAGTCCTCACTCAAATTCTAGGTTGAAACAGATAGATAAATCTCACGTACCATGTTTCCCCCAAATAAGACAGGGTCTTATATTAAATTTTGTTCCAAAAATACATTAGGGCTTATTTTCAGGGGATGTTTTATTTTTTATTTTTTTCATGTACAACAATCTACATTTATTCAAATACAGTCATGTCATTTTCTTCTAGTTGCTGCACAATGGTGGAGGGCGGGGTTTCACTTAACTGTGGCTTATTTTTGGGGTAGGGCTTATATTACGAGCATCCTGAAAAATCATACTAGGGCTTATTTTCAGGTTAAGTCTTATTTTCAGGGAAACAGGGTAGATAGATTTTAAAAAATTAAGACCAAGTATCAGTCAAATATGGGAAAAGATTTATTTGTTCTTTTACTTACTGGACGTGTTGACAAAAGGTTTCTAAGTAATCCCAAAGTTTTCATTAGTACATTTACATCAGAATCAGAGAGTAATTGAAATAACTGTTCTGTACTCAAGCCTCGTAAAATGTCTGCTTTGATCTTCTGTTCTGCTTGAAATGCCATATTCTAAAAAGATAGATAAAACTAATCTCAAATTTCAGTCATCAACTTTTTAAAAAGGAACATAATTCTACTACGCAAGCTCTTACAACTGGCTATATGCAAATATACAAATAATTAAAATGTACAAGGAACATTTCTTAGCAGTATGGAAGGCTTTTTTGGAATATACTTGAAAACATCCACACGCTCAAAAAAAATTCAGTTTTAAAAATTCCCTACTGATCTTCATATTTCCAATGTTATCACAGTGCTATCATGGGGAAAAGGAGTGACAGATATACAAAATTGTCTGATTAACCTTAGCTCTTACCATTAAAGCCCAAACTCCATTCACCCGCAAGGCAAGATTGTCACTCTGGGTTAAACTGCAGAGAAGTTCTATGGCTCCTGATTCTAAAATAGGCTATGTAGACAGAAAGGAAGATCATTTCAGAAATCTAAAGTTACATATTGTCCAAGCCTACATACATGCAAGATATGCTGACATACTAGTTATTTTAGTTGCTCTAATCATCAAACAAGCACACATTAGTTTATTTGCACGATTAAATTTCATACAGCTGAACTTTAATACCCACCTGCGAAATATGAGATCCAGTATCTTAAAAATGTCAGTTACATGCGGATGGGTATCTAAAACAGCTCACCAACACAAATTTGGCAGTCAAATGAATACATATGGGAAAAAATATACTCATTAAAAAAAGAAGGCTATGAACTGCATCCACATGCTCGTTGATATGTGGTGCCAAGCTCTATGCTGTCTTTCCCCAGCAATGTCTGTTAAGCCCCAACAATGAACATTTTAAAATGCCAGGATGTATGTTCTGGCTTTTCTAAGGAAGATTTTGAGATGACTGATGGTGTGCTTCTTTCTTTTCTCTTTTCCACTTGTGCACAGGATCAATCACACTTTTGATCTGCTCTTATGAGATCTTATTATATAGCTGCATATTTTTGCAGTTTTATGCTGTTTTTACCATTACTTTCAGTTTTATCACTTTAATTTTCATTTAATTTATTCAACTGGTTTTTTTAAAAAAGAATGGGATAGGATTTTTAAACAAACAAACAAATTTATTTATTTATTTAATTGATTTATATCCCGCCCATCTGGTCTGGTCGACCACTCTGGGCGGCTTCCAATAAGGTGTATACGATAAAACATAAGAACTTTACAAACAGTCCATAACACATACAATAATAAAACAAATAATAAATGAAAGAAAAAATAAAGAAAGAATTAAATATTGACAGGAGGGAAGGCCTGAACATACAACCATGTTTTAGTTGACTCTTAAAAGTGCCCAGCGTAGGGGCTGC